GTCATGAAAGTTCTTACCATCAAAGAGGCAAGAGAGAGAGTAGTAAACCAACCACAACATTAGCCTACAGGGATAAAATGCTGAAGAATATACATGCACAGTGTTACTGGAGCAAAAAGAAGAGAAACAGATGGAAGAAAGTTTCCCCAAAACAGTAGTACTAGAGGTGTCTTTAAAGGTGAGTAGGAGTGAACTAGACAGTGAATGGTAGGAGTATAGGAGTAATAACAAAGCAGTTCAGATAAAAGCTGGAGTATAAGAAGGAAGTATGGGAAAGGAGACTTAGAAAAGCCAAATCACCAAGGGTATAAAGTAGTAAGAAATCAATCTATAATAAGCCACAGAAAGATTTCAGGCATGAGGTAATGTGATCAATCCATTGAGCACAGTGAATGACATACTAAGGGTGCAAGTATGGAATATGGTGAGACGAAAGAGTACATCAATATGTAGTTCAGGGAACGTGGTGTGTGTGTAGGTGCACGTAAAAAATAAAGACAGGCCTGGAAGTAGGGACAGAGACCATAGGGAAGAGATGGTAAGTTTAGGGAGTATTTCAAAAGTGCTAGCTACATGGATATTTACTTTATAATTATATATTAAACTTCATTATGCATCTTTATATATTATATATCAAAATTTTAAAAGAGGGGGAGGTTGCTGAATTAAGGAAATAGCGGTGAGAAAGGAGAAGAAAGGGAAAATTAAGAAACGAGTATGAGTTAGAACTAAGAGAACTTACTGACCAATTAGATAAAGGGAAGGGACAAAACTAGGAATCCCAATCAGGTCTCTAACTTCAGAGTCTAGGAGGAGAGTGAAACCATTTACCAAGGCAGGACTGAAAGGAGACAACTGGTTCTTTTATGGGAGGAAGAACTCAATTATGGACATGCTGAATCTGAGTTGACTTAATGACATTCATATGGAGATATATCTAGTAGGTTTTTAGATATGCACGTCAAAAACTTAGAAAAAACTTCTTGATTGGAGATCAAAATGTGGGCATCATGAGCTTACAAGCATACAATAGTTAAGACTGTGGGCTTGAAAATGGTGACCCAGGAAGACCCAAGAAAAATATCACAGGAGCAACAGAAGGCTAAGGACAGAAAGAAGTAAATGAGCTTGTAAAACAAGATTTTGAATTATTACCAATAGCCTTTTGTCATAAAACAAATCTAGAGTCCAAACATCTTTTCTTAAAATGAATGACAGTTTTTCAAATTTTCACTTGATTAATGAATAAGCATATTTTTTCCAAAGGCAAAGCTATAAATGACAGAAATATTTATTCATTTAAGCCATTTCCCCTTGTACACAACTTAATAGAATTCACTTTAAATTCAATTATCCTTCCCTCCTAAATCTCAGTCAAAATAAGATTTGGGACAGCTTCAATATGATCCCAAGATTATACCTTTTTACCATCTGGCTCAGCCATCGCTCGGATTTTAGTAGAATCAGTAGGTGAATCTGCTGTATTACTAGTAGTATTTTGCATGCACCTGACAGAAGGTGGACTGAATATTAGAGCACCTGATGGCAGGTAGTCAAAAAGAACTGGCAATTCTTTCAGTTCTGCCCACTCATAAACTCTAGACATAGCAAGAATATAATAGCTAAAATTATATTTATGCTAAAAAAGTTTCTTGAGTTTTCGGGTAATACAAGTGCAAAAAGAGTCCCTTAATTTGCCAAGAAGAAAATGTTGCAAAGTAGAATTAGCTTGCATTTTATCAGAAATATAATGCAAATAAGGTTACTGTAATTACATCTGATAATGAAATATGTTTAGTAACTGTTAGTTTCAAAGCACCTAGCAGAGACTAGACTTTCACTAAGCACAAAATATTATTACACATTGACTACAAAGAACAATAATACAAATAAATACAAATGAACTCAAAATAGTTTATTACTTAAAGAGGCACCAGGGTCTGAGATTTCTATGTAAATGCCTGAAAATAAAAGAATACCACTTATATAGTCACTTAAATAATTAAACATACATAAAATGAAATTTTGTAATTTGAAATAAGAATTACATTAACATGACATAAATACCTTTGGTAAAATGATTCATAAAATTTGGGGAATATTTTTGTACTTATACTCCTCTATGTAGTGCTTATTTGTTTATATTTAAAGAAGATGACCTGAGATACACTCTTGAAATACATGTTTTCTTCTTCCTGTGGAAGCACTCAGAAATTAGTAGAAATTATAAAAAGAAATAATTTTTTAAAAAATGGTTAACACCATTCTTTGGTCTATATAAAAGTCATGTTTAATCTTACTCAGAAAACAAAGACTGTACCGAGTACAATCATTCTCTGTATAACCACAGAAAGTATCTAATAATTATCAGCTGAGCTACAAGAGATTACTTCCAGAGGACAAACCCGATTTTAAGAAACAAACAGAAAACACGAAAGAGACTTAGCTATGTACGGTGAAGTACATATCCATTCAACAAATTACTGGGTACCTACTAAGTAGAAAGCACCATGTTAGATACAGTAGGAGAAACAAGTAAAACATTCCGTTTCTATCACTGCTTACAAACTTAAGACCATTATACAGTAAGATTGAAAAAGCAACATGAAAGATTATGAGGAAATGTAAGTTAAAATATCAAATCAGTAATTTGAACAATTAAGATCTGAGAAGAGACTACACCCAACTCTTTTGAAGGCAATTCCAGCACATGTACCTGGTATAGTTTTTACTACATGACGTCAATCAGATTTTTGAAATTATTGTGATTAAAAAAAAAAAGTAGCAGCACTGGGGTGGCAGAGTCTTATTATTCAGCCCCTTCAGGTGGAAAAGAGGGACAAGGAAAGCCTGGGTAGGAAACTTGACTGAATGATCAGTAAGGTCACTTCTTACGCTCACAGTTCTTCCTTGATTTAGGAACATACAAAATCTGAATACACTGTAATACAGTGTGTGAAAACTGATATTGATAAAGTACTGAAGTGTTGTCTAAGACAATGGTTTTCAAACTCCAGTGCACATCTAATAACATCTAATGACTGAATACCTTGTTAAACATATAGATGTTTATGTACTATCACAAACCTTTGGAGCCAGAATCTAGATTATAAAGGTGCAATCAGGGCATTTGTATTTAAGCAGCTCTCCCAGGTGATTCTGACGTACAGTGTGAGAATTAAGTGTTATATGATTAAATACACAACACTGACTGGCAAGGAAACCTGGGTCAAATGCCAGTTCTAATACTTAATACTTGCACCAACTAGCCTCCCTAACACCACTTCTAACCTTTAAAAAGGGGGAAATGCCACCCATTTCTCAAATGATTCCTGTGAAGATTAAAGGTGATGAGGTATATAAACTGTTTAGTGCATTCAGTAAGCATTCAATGAATTCATTTAACAAACATTTATTAAGCACGTACACAGTACTAGAAGATGAAGAACATCTCATTAAATTGTTAAGTATTAATAAATATGGCAACTCTGTAATGGTGTTAAGAGAACATATAAATCGGGGAATCCATGCTAATCAGGAAAGTCTTCCTGAAGTGAGCTGAATGACGAGTAGGCATTACCTGGATGAAAAGGAAAGGAAATGCATTACCAAGCAGAGAAAGCTTCATAACCAAAAGCCAGGTACCTAAAGCACAACAGAGTGATTAGGGCAGAACAGAATGCCAGGAAGCACGGTGGAGATGAGGTTGCAAAGGCAGTCAGGGGAGCCAAACAGGCTGTTAAGGATTTTAGTTTCCCCTAAAAACAATGAAAGCCACGGAAGGGTTTTAAATATGGAGACAACATGATTAGATCTGCATTTTTAAAATGTCATTCAGTCTGGTGTGGAAACCTGGGGGGTGGGAGTCACAGTAATGCAGGTAGACATTTGCGGGGCTAGTGACACTTCAGATGAGAGATGATGGTGGCTGGGATTGGATTACAAGTGGCGAAGATGAAGAGAGACAAGATATTCAAGAGGCAAAATCAACAGGACTTAATGAGAACTAGATAATGAGGCACAGGAGAGAGGAAGCTGTCACACTTCTATAGAAAAGGACAAATGATGAAGCTAGTCACTTAAACACACTAAGAGGCCCTATTTTTCTTGGGGAATAAATCATGTGAGCATGAGTAGTTATCCCCAGTTATAGGGTCGATTTGTGCAGAAATATTCTGTTGTATGGAAGCACAATATATCTGTATATATTTCACTGGTTGTTCATGGATCTTAGAGACAAAAGAACAGGATTCTGCACGTGTAGACTGGATCTGAACAAATGAAGAGCCTTAACTTCCATTACGATTTTTTTTACACAATCCCCTGAAAGTGTCTTTTATGAGCAGTTTAATATTGACAGGAATTCTACCAACCCCAGCTGATAAATCATTTTTAAGCCTTTTCAAAATTAACATTTATACTAAAGAATATGACAAGAAGCCAAACAAAAAGAGCCTGTAAATTTCCAAAGGTAGCTTCAAGCACCAGACCATGACAGAGTTTTACAGTGACAGACTGTAAAACTGTGTTAATTTTCCAGAATGGAAAGCATGTGAATGCCTCTTACAAAACTTCTTACTCATAGAATCCAATTTGTAAAACAAATCATCATACAGATAATTCTTGAATTTGATCTACAAAAAAACAGCTTGCAACGTACAAAAAAAAAAAAAACAGCTTGCAATTTACAACTCTTAAATCACTACTGATACAGTTCCTTTAAGTCGCCTGAGTGGGGAGACTCATAAAGTGTTGTAGGGACTGACTTCACCATATTGGTTTCCTTAATTACTAATCACAGGCATGAATTCAGTTGGATCCCAAGTTGGGAAGTTTTTGCAAGCTTTATCGGTCTAAACCTTCCTCCATCCTTTCTCTTCCGCTTAGAAAAAAACGAGCGCAGAAGCCACCGAAGAGGTTTTAAGTCGTAACAAAACACCTGCCCCACCCACCTCAAACACAATAACCTTCCGTCCCAGACCTATACCTACTGTCAGAAAATGACGCCGGGCGGTAACCCAGGTTATCAGACGTCGACCTCAGAAGTGAGGGGAGCTGTCTCACCCAGTCCCGGAGGAGTGTCCAATTTCCCAAAAGGGAACCAAGAGCTCCACAACGGAAACCCGAGCTCCCGGGCCGGACCGGGGGGCTCTCCCAGCAGCAGACGGCCCCGGCCCTAGGTCCCCCTTCACTTCAAGGCCTCTTCTGGGGACTCGGGCCTCTCGGAACCGCTCCCCGGAGCTCGCCGCTCCCCGAGCTCGGCTTCACGCTGGCGCCCACTGCCCTGCCAGACCGGCCCTCAGCCTGAAGGCCCGTCACCTAGCAACAGTCGCCAGCACTCGGGGTCTTGGGAGGCCTAGCCCCGGCGCGGGTCCCTCTCCATTCCTTCCTCGCTGGCCTTGGCAGCCCTGGCAGGTGCGCGGCCGGAGAGGAGGTCACTCGGTGCCCGGGGGCGGTCACTCACCTCTTCCCCTCTTCGCTCAGGAAGGGCGGTGCTGAGGCTCGTTTCCCCCGCCCAGCCAAACGCCTCCCGGTTGCTCCAGCTCCGCTTCAGCGTCCGGCGGAAGCTGTGGCTTACTCCATAGCCTTATCCACCCGCGCGCCCTCACAGGCTGGAGCCGGAGGAGGGAAGGGGGAGGGGAGGGGAGGGATTGGGGAGGAAGAGTAAGGGGTAAGGAAAAAGACCGAAAGACCGGCCGGCCGGGGCATTACGTCACTTCCTGCTCGTTCGGTAGGGGCGGGGCTGGAACTTCCTTGGCCTCCGCCCCCTTTGGATCAGGCGGGGGCGGGGTTACGGGTCGGGGGAGGAGCCGGGGCGCGAGCTTCAGGCGGTTCTTTCAACCCCGCTGTTCCGTAACCTTGGCAGCCAGAGCCAGCTTCCCGGCCCTGGGCGGAGCAGGTCGAATTTCAGGAGCCTAAGAGGTGGCTTCTGCCGGAAAAGAGAACGGGTAGTCACACAGATCCTACTCAAAAGTGCTGAAGGGGAGGGCCGCTGAGGGTAGAGGGTGATTTGGACTACCAGCCTCAGGCATCTGGGGTCCGCCCCTTTCCAGCGCGCCTGCCTTCCCTGGTCAAGCACTAAGAACCAGGACTTGGGCTTATATTAACTGCTCTCCTTGGGAAGTTAAGGAAAGCAGTGCTTCTCGAACTTTAGTGTGCACACGAGTCATTTGGGGATTTTGTTAAAGGCAGTTTGAATTCTGGAGGAGTCTAGTGTTCTGCGTTTCTCATGAGCGCCCAGATAATGCGAACCAGTGCTATTGGTCCACAGGCTACACTTAGGACTACAAGGGCTTGACGTACTAGGTGGCAAGTTCCTTGAACACGAGGACTATTTCTTCTAGCCTACTTGTTTAATACAGGTTAAAGACAGATGGTCCACGGAAAATACCCTTGTCTCCACCACTCATAGTCTTCTGGCCCTCTCCACCCCACCCCAACCAACCCTACTCCGTCCCTACACCATCCATCACTCCCCCATTCTAGTCTAACTCCTTTTCACTGTTCACCTTCCACACACCACTCCGCACTGTCTAAAGTGTCTTGAGCTAATATTTAAAGTATAGACAAGTGAACAGCTTGTTAGTAAAGGTATTTGAGGCTGATGGGATTTTGTCATTTTGTCATATACATCAGTCTATTACGTAAAATCGGGCAACCTGTTTCCAGTTATTTATAGTCAAAGGAGAGAGCTTAAATTCTTGAATTTTATTTTTTAATTGTTTTATTATTGTTCAAGTACAGTTGTCTGCAATTACCCCCACCACTCCGCCCCCAACCCAGCCATCCCCACCTCCCTATCCCCATTCCACCCCCTCTTGGTTGTGTCCGGGAGTCCTTTATAGTTGTTCCTGAAAACCCTTCCAAATTCTTGAATTTTAATTCAAAAAATCTAGAAACAATATTCTGGATGTTTCAACTTATTCCCTTGTCATTCTTCAATTTTTTTATTTAAAAAATTACTGGGGTACAGGAGATAAGGAGTGACTGCTAACTGTATGGGTTTTTTTTTAAGATTTTATTTATTTATTTTTAGAGAGGGAAGGGAGGAAGAAAGAGAGAGAGAGAGAAACATCAATGTGCGGTTGCTGGGGGTCATGGCCTGCAACCCAGGCATGTGCCCTGACTGGGAATCGAACCTGCAACACTTTGGTTCACAGCCCGCGCTCAATCCATTGAGCTACGCCAGCCAGGGCTGTCTCTTTTTTTTTTTTTTTTTTTGTATGTATGTGTTTCCTTTTGAGTGATGAAATGGTGTGCAATAGTAATAGTGATGGTTGTACAACTTTGTGACTGCACTAAGAAAACAATGAATTGTACACTTTTTAAAAAAGACTGAATTTTGTGGTATGTCTGTTATGTCTCAATAAAAATTTTACTGTCTCCAATTAATTAAAAAATTACATATATACATTATAAACATTTGGAAATATAAAGATTAAAAACCAAACATCCTCTTTTATTACAATCCTACTTCCCAAAGTTTAGTAGTTTGAAGTTTATCCTCTCAGACCTTCCTTTCTATTTATTCACATATATTTGTGTGTAGTTTGAGAATTCATTTTTACATAACTAGGATAGTATACAAATTGTTCTGCTCCACTTGTTGAGTTTTTGTTTTTGTTTTGTTTTTCCTACTTAATGATATCCTTTCATGCTATAAACCTTATTCTCCCTAATGGCTGCTTAATATGCCACAGTAAGGCTATGCCATAATTTATTTAACAATTCTCCAGGTGATGGACATTTTTGTTGTTTTCAGGTTTTCATTGTTACTCACAAGCTTTTTTTTTCAACAAGAATAACTGATAAATAGATCAGATAAATAGATCAGTCTTATGATCTCCTTGCCCTACATCTCTCTCATGAAGAGTTTGTGCCATTGGTCAGAAATGGAAAAAGAAGAAAGAAAAAGATCAAAACCTGGTGAAACCACGGCTCTGTAATAATCAAGACTCTAGTGAGTGTGTGCATTCCTTTTATTTTTGTTTATTTTTTTAGGGAGAGGGAAAGAAACATCAGTGTGTGGTTGCCTCTCACGTGGCCCCCACTGGGGACCTGGCCCAAGACCCGGGCATGTGCCCTAACATGGAACCGAACGGGCAACCCTTCGGTTTGCAGCCCACACTCAGTCCACTGAGCTACACCAGCCAGGGCTACGTTTCTTTTAAATGTGTCCTGATATAATATCCTTGAAGATTAAGTATGCCTAGTAGTTAATCATGTAACATTAAGGGTTTATAAATGCACAGTATAATACATTTCATATAAAGTAAGTTACTAGGTTTTCTCTGTTTTTATTGGCAGATAAACAGTGCAATCTTAGTAAATATATTATGGTTTACATAAGATGAGAGGAGTAGAAACTTAAGAAAGACAATGGCAGCAGATATGCCATTAAGAACATACAAAGACTGTTTTACTGGTTCTGATGCTGTTGGTGTAGTATTAAGTCATCTTATGCAAAATATGTGCCTAAGTAGTAATGCCATGTTTCATCTTAAAGGAGTTGATCTTTGCCAAGTTCTAATGAACCATAAAGTATTTGAATCAGTAGGAATGAAGCTATTCAAAAATGAGAAGAAATTGGAATTTGAAGTTTAAAACAATACTCCACAGATTTCTAGGCAATAGATAATCTTCTGGGGGTTTTTTTGCAAAAGAAAAAAAGGATACAGAGAATGGGTCAACAGATAAAATAAATGCCAAGCAATCTTTAAGGTTAGTGTTAAATAAAATACTGTGATGCGCTGTATTTAGATGCTGGCAGAACAGTCATCATTGAGTTAAACTTGAATGTTACGCTTTCAGTGTTTTTCAGAAGTCAGTAAAAAAATAGCCTTGTAAAAATTACTCTATTTCAACTGACTTGTATTTAATGGATAAAAAATGTTCACCTTTTTGGAAGTTAAGTTTTCATACTAAAACTTTTGGGGAGAAGTATATTAGGAAGCTCCTCTGCTCTAACAAATCAGACAGGAATGAAGCTTGCTGTTATGTACTGAAACCTGACTGTTCTGTGATCCTCAAGCATGAAAACAACCCCTTCAGACCTATGAATAGATAAGAAATTAAGAATAAAGCAATATAGATACTACTAACTTTATAAAATTAAATAATTAGCTGGACATCAAATAAGGCATGTTTTGTTTGGAAAAACATGGCTGGTTAAAGGTATGTAATTGGCAACACACCTCTACAAAATTCAGCTAAAGAAAGGATTGAGTTTCTCTATTTTTTTGAAAAGGCCAATTCTTAGTTCCCAAATAACTGAGAAACCTTCTTCACTTGAACTGGGTTGAGCACTCTGCCAGCAGTGGGAAAGCAGTGCAATTACAGGGCCTCGGGCTTCATCACAAAATTGCATTCTCGCAACAACAACCACCTTTGCTGACATTTAATTTTTTTGTAGTTTGTTTCTTACTGAGTATCATGACTAAGGTTTCAAATATATATGTGTGTTATTTTAGAAATGTTAGGGGTTCTAAAGGTGTAGAACACAGCCTTTCCCTCACCTCTGCAGGGTGGTCTTAGGGGAATGTCTGGTGTCAGCTAGAGCATTTCCTCTGTTAATCTGTTTTGCTTCACTCCCAGAAGAATAATGTTGGTATAAAGGTTTCCTTGGTTAAAATAAAGTTTGAATCCTACCGAACATACTACATTTCTCCTCTCAAAAAACCCACATTTAGATGCTTAATGAAATAGCCTGTTTACTTGTGTTTATTTCCCACTAATGTATGAGGTACTAGCAGCGGTGTCCAACCCGCAGCCCATGGGCCACATGGAGGCCCAGGATGGCTATGAATGCAGTCCAACACAAATTAAAACCTTTGTTGTTGTTGTTGTTGTTGTTGTTGTTGTTGTTGTTGTTGCCACCCTGGCTGGTTTAGCTCAGTGGACTGAGCATGGGCCTATGAACCAAAGGGTCGCTGGTTTAATTCTCAGTCAGGGCACATTGCCTGGGTTGCCAGCCAGGTCCCCATTGTGGGGTGTGTGAGAGACAACCATATATCCATATTTCTCTTCTTCTCTTTCTCCTTCCCTGCCCCTCTCTCTAAAAATAAATAAACAAAATATTTTTTAAAAACTTTTTTTTTTGCTCATCAGTTTTCGTTAGGGTTTGTGTATTTAATATGTGGTCCAAGACAACTCTTCTACTTCCAGTGTGGCCCAGAAATGCCAAAAGGTTTGACATCCCTGTGAGGAATAGTCCTGATCTTATTCATTATACGCCCCACTGAATGAGACAGCACCTAGTTGCTGGCTGGTGTGTAAACATTTACTGTATAAATGACTTGAGTACAGCCTCGTTTTATAAATATTTTCTTTTTATATATACATGTTATTCATATATGTGTGTGTGTGTGTATTCTCTCCTCAGTGTTGCATGGACTGCACACTCTTCACATGTAGAGTCTATCCCCTCCATGACTCACTCAGCCCAATGGTCATTGAATATGAAGTGCCCCATAAACATGACCATAGTAATAGTATGTGTTGCCACAATATCCTTTTTGAGTGTAATTTTCCTATATAGAACTAGATATTCTGTTTATCATCTCTGTATTTAACTAGTATGTTCTAGACAGTACAATTCTCTGCTCCTTCTCCTTCAGGTCTTTGCTCAAATATTATCTTCCCAATGATAGTTCCCACATATCTTATTTAAAGTTGCAACATTATCTCCTAACACTACGTCTCTCATTTGCTGCTTATTTTCTCTCCATAGAACTTACCAGTAACTGCCATGCTTCATATTTTACTTTTTGTTTGTTTATTGTCTGCCTCCCTATCCCCACTAGAATATAAGCTCCATTAAAGCAAGGATTCTTTTTTCCCCCTGGCTGGTGTGGCTCAGAGGATCGAGAGCAGGCCTGACAACCAAAGGGTCATTGGTTCGATTCCCAGTCAGGGCACTTGGGGACCAGTTGCAGAACCTGAGTTGCGGACCAGTTCCCTAGTAGCAGGTGCTTAGGAAGCAACCACACATTGATGTTTCCCTCTCTTTCTCCCTCCCTTCCTCTCTCTAAAAAATAAATAAAATATTTTATTTTTTAGTATATTTTATTGATTATGCTATTACAGTTGTCCCATTATTTTCTCCCCTTTATCCCCCTCTGCCCTACACACCCCCTCTTCCAGGATCACTCCCCTTAGTTCATGTCCATGGGTTGTACACATAAGTTCTTGGGCTTCCCCATTTCCTATACTATTCTTAACCTTTCTCGTCTACTTTGTACCTCCAATTATTCTTATTTCTTGTACCTTTTCCCCCATTCTCCCCCCTCCTCCTCCCCACTGATAACCCTCCATGGGATCTCCATTTCTATGATTCTGTTCCTGTTCTAGTTGTTTGCTTAGTTTTTGGTTTTTTTAGGTTGAGTTGTTGATAGTTGTGCGATTGTTGTCATTTTACTGTTCATATTTCTGATCATGTTCTTTTTCTCAGATAAACCCCTTTAACATTTCATATAATAAAGCCTTGGTGATGATGAAGTCCTTTAACTTGACCTTATTTGAGAAGCACTTTTTCTGCCCTTCCATTCTAAGTGATGGCTTTGCTGTATAGAGTAATCTTGGATGTAGGTCCTTGCCTTTCATGACTTTGAATACTTCTTTCCAGCCCCTTCTTTCTTATAATATTTCTTTGGAGAAATTTGTTGATAGTCTTATGGGAACTCCTTTGTAGATAACACTTTCCTTTTCTCTTGCTGCTTTTAAGATTCTCTCCTTATCTTTCATCTTAGGTAATGTACTTACGATGTGTCTCACTATGTTCCTCCTTGGGTCCAACTGTTTGGGACTCTCTGAGCTTCCTGGACTTTCTGGAAGCCTATTTTCTTTGCCAGTGTGGGAAGTTTTTCCTTCATTATGTTTCCAAATAAGTTTTCAATTTCTTGCTCTTCCTCTTCTGGCACCCCTATGATTTGGATGTTGGAACATTTAAAGTTGTCCCAGAGGTTTCTAAGCCTCCTCATTTTTTGGAATTCTTGTTTCTTCATTCTGTTCCGGTTGAATGTTTATTTCTTCCTTGTGTTCCAAATTGTTGGTTTGAGTCCTGGTTTCCCTCCCTTCACTGTTGGTTCCCTGTACATTTTCCTTTACTTCACTTTGCATAGCCTTCCCTTTTTCCTCTATTTTGCAACCATACTCAATCATTTCTGTGAGCATCTTGATTACTAGTGTTTCGAACTCTGCATCTGATAGGTTGGCTAGCTCCTCATTGCTTAGTTCTATTTTTGGAGCTTTGATCTCTTCTTTCATTTGGGTCATATTGTTTGTCTTGGCACACCTGTTATGTTGTAAGGGGCGGAGCCTTAAGTATTCATCAGGGTGGGGCAACCCACATTGTCGAGCTGTTCGTAGGGGAGGATCCTAGAGGAAACAGTGCTGCTTGCTCGGCTCTCAGCCTCCTTTCAGTTCCTTCCCCAACTGCCCACAAGCAATTGGGCCCTTCTGGTGCCAATTCCTGGGTGGGTGGGTGGGTTTGTGTATGTTCTAGGACCCTGTGGGGCTTTCCAATGAACTCTCCTGTGAGGCTGGGAGTTTCTCCCTTTGCTGCAACCCCCACAGTTTTTTTCAGCCAGAGGCTTTGAGGCTTTATTTCCCCTCACTGGAACCCATAGTTGCTCAGTCTGCCTCACTCCCCAGTTGTTCCTCGAGGCTTATGCACACACGAATGTGGGATGTCTGGTCTGCCAGCCACTGCCTCGCCCACTCAGTTCATCGCCCTTCCGCACATCCTTTCCGCCCTGGCTGCCCATCTCTGTCTCTCCTACCAGGCAGGATGAATGTTTGTTCTTTAACTCTTTGGTTGTTGGACTTTCATATAGTTTGATTTTCTGGTAGTTCTTGTTTTTTTGTATTTAAATTTCTTGTTGTCCTTCTTTTGGTTGTGTGAGGAAGCAAAGCATAACTACCTATGCTTCCATCTTGGCTGGAAGTCCAATAAAATCTTTTTAAAAAAGCAGGGATTTTTGCCCATTTTACTTACTATATCCCTGGCACCTAGAACAGTGCCTACCACAAAAATAGGTCTCAATAAATATTTGTTAAATAAATAAGTGTTCTGTCTTGATGCACTTGAAGAATAGTTTTTTTCCCCCCATTTTTGGACTTATTCATAATGTATACTCCTGGTAACTTGATAAAATTAGTCTTCACCCTTTTCATAGGTGGTTATCTTTGCCTCCTTACTTAGGATGTGGCTGCTGAAGTCCCACTAATTTTTATGTGTTTTTATAGCACCTGGTTCAGTGCTGTGCCCAAAGGTTGGTATTGAAAAATGTGGCCTGATTGGTTAGAGGCTATTTATGATCACAAGTCTTTGCTAAAAGATTGTTAATTTGACTTATACATGGCAAGTAACTCACAGGTAGCCAACTGAGATGATTTTAGGAGCCAGGCAGATCAGAGAGCCAATGAGTACTTAATTATCAAACATAGAGGAAAAATATGTACTGTTCTTTTGCTTGAAATATATGGCCCACTTAGGCTGTTTTTCCTTTCCCCACTTAACAGAGAGATATAAATACAGGGAAATTGATTTGTACTGTAGCAAAACCAATGGGACAAACCATGAAAACAGTAGCTGACACTCAGCTTCATGGGATACAATGGGGAATGGTGGGGTTTGTGGTGAACTGGGAATGACAAGCAGGTACAAAGGGGGTACCCACAGCTTCCTGTCAGGTGACTTTGGTCAGGCATTAATTCAAGCCCAGTGTTATGAGATTTTTTTAAAAGAGAAACTTGTAACCAGAACTTTACATGAAATCTCCCATTTTTATACAAGTTAATTTTATTCAAAGTGCCCATAACCAAAGAAAAAAAATCATGTCTACGGTTCAGATTTAATACATAGGCTACTTGGCTTGGGATCTTTGCAAGAGATTTACTATAGCTGTTGATTTTATGATTTTTGCTTCATTTAAAGAAAAAATATTTATTATGATCTGATGATTAGGATAACGAAAAACTTAACAGGAATGACCAGAAACCCAAGTTAAGATTACCCTAATACAGTATTTTAATTTAAAACAATAAGCTATAATTATCTGTGCTACTTTGAATAAAATTATAATTAGCAATCTCATATTCTCTCAGATATATAATTATTAGCATGACCAGTAGCTTTTTATATTTGTAATTAAACTATCGTTGGCCTTAGAAGTTAGACAATATTATTATACAAGCAATATAACCAGAAAAATACAATCACTAGGCTCCTAACTGATGTCTATTTAAGGTCATTCTTGAAAATAAAAATTGTAATTTAGAAAATTTAAATTATCCTAGCATTAAATTAATGTATCATATATATGTATCCTTTATTTTGTATTACTTAGAGATGGAAATTTTTATAATATGGCTTGAATGTATGTTATTTCTTGATCTGATAGTTATGTTATTTCTCTTTCTAAGCCATAGAAGATTTTTGGAAACAACAAACATTGTTGTATATTCTTCAATTGATTCACCTTCCATTTGTGGAAAATATTTTGTAGCCAACAGTTAAAACACAAAATCTTCAATTAAATGAAGAAGGATATCTTGTTACCTCAAACACTTATCTAGATGGAGATGTTATTCCAAGTTTCTGTGTACCTGGGTGACAATTTTTATTGTCAAATAATTTATAACTTAAAAGGCCTTTCACATATTTCACCTTTGGTATTTTAAGAGGCGAGAATATATCCATATATATAAGCTAACACCATCTCTGTTTTATAAATTACTCACTGTGAATTCTCACTTGATCTAACAAAGAAAGTCCCTGGTTGTGACCTGCAAGATCTGGAGATCAGGGTTTTTCATTCGTATGAATTCAGTCACGATTTCACAATCATCTTCTCCCTGCACCAGCACCGAGTGTTTTCCAAAGTTCTATCATTTCCTTCTTATGGCCAAAAGTAACATTAATTATCAGTTTCTACCAGTTTACTTATTCCTGCCCTAAAAGAATCCACAGTCTAGTAAGGGAAACATTTATGACACAGAACTTTACAGCCCAAGGAGAGAAGCCCTATCATAAAATCAACCTTATTTGTGGGGAAGGGGTTCAGGAAACCCTATAACATGAATGATGCTCCATCCTCTTTTCTCTGAACTCTAAAATGTTTGTCACTCCTACTGTTTGGAACTATTGATATAAGACTGGGTACTAGTAGGGATTCCAACAGAGAGAGCTGATACAGTGCTTTTTTTCCCATGTTGTCCAAAGAAGAAAAGAACATCAGACTCTAAGGCTGAGGACCAGAAAGCATCAGACCCGGAGAACAAGTTGTTAATAAGACCTGTGAACCCACTTAGATAGTCATCTGTGGTCCTGTTTGCATGTGACAGGTTTCCCTAATTCACAATAGGCAAAAAAAAGGCCCACATAAAGAGCTGAGCCTTCCCCAGCCTTTGAGTCAGGTTATAGGGACATCAGAAAAACAAAAACAAAAACAAAAACAAAACAGGATTTCTTTGGATGCCTCTGCAGGAAACAGCAGCCAGTCTGCCTTTATAAGCTTCTAGGCAGAAAGGACAGGTTACCTGCAAAAGAAAAACAATCCAATTGTCATTAACCTTCTGTTCTACAACACTAGGATCTAGAAGATAATGACACACACTAATTAGGGAAGATACACCATTCACCTGTCAGGGCAGAAAAAAAAAGAAGGAAGGAAAGGTGGGAGGATAAAGGAAGAGGGAGGAAGGAAAGATTCTTGAGGATTATCAAGAATTCATAGCATATGTCACTGTGAAGGGAAGGGGAGGGGAGGGAAGGGGAGGGAAGAAAATGAAAGGAAGGAAAAGGAGGAAAAGGAAAGGGAAGAAAAGGAAAGGAAGGGAAGGGAGGAAAAGGAAAGAAAGAAAGAAAGAAAACAAGAAAGAGAGAAACTAGAACCCCAAGATGGAGATGAAGAGGAGAGGAAACTTTGTTAGGCAATGAACTTTGATTTGGGCTCTTACCAGTTTCTCTCTCATTTTGTACACATGCACACACACACACACACACACACACACACACACACACACACATATATTAATAAAGGTCCAAGGAAAAAACATTAAGGGGCACTAATCATCAAGGGTTAGGTAAATAGGAATCTATGAATGAGACAAAAATGAAATGTTAGGAGGGGAATTAGGTGATGTGCCCATAAAACCAAGGAAATAAACCATTTTAAGAAGTAGGATTCCATGTAGCAGAAACTTAGGACTGCCACTTACTATCAGGAACCAGTTGGTGAGAGCTGATTTAGTAGCTTGAGGGGCAGAAACCAGGTTGCAGAGGGATGAACAGGAATGAATGAATAAAGACATTAAGAGTGGATCTATGATAAGAAGGGGAAGAGAGAAACTGACCAATTACTGGGGCAATACTAAGTCAAGCCAGAGACTTGAGCACACTCATCTACTGAGAAGAACACAGCAGAATAAAGGGGATATTGAAGGAAAAAAGAGATGCCTGATGGAGCCAGGACCTGGAGGACTCAGAAGGGAATGGGTTCAAGGTCACAGGACCAAGGGTTTGCCTGGAAGAGGAGGAGGGGAATTGGAGTAAAGGGGTATTGGAGGGGTAAGGAGTATTTTTTTTAAGGGATTTCACAATCACTGTTGGGAAGCTTTGCATTAACGTTTCTGTGGCAGACAACTACCATTTGTAAATGTAAACAAATCTCTGGTGGTTTTCTCAAACTACCATACTTACACTTCAGGGGCAGGTTAGCCTCCAAGCACTGTTAAGTGTAATCATGCTTAAAATGTTGAGGAAGGTGGTCAAGGGTACAAACTTAGTTATAAATTAGTCCTCGGGATGTAATGTACAGCATGGCGACTATAGTTAATAATACTATACACTCTATATTCAGAAGTTGCAAAGAGAAATCTTCAAAAACAAAATGTTAGGCAAGTTTTTTACTTTAAAAGGGAATGCTGCCAAAGTCATGTATTAAATATGCTATTAGTGATCTGGTATATTTAATATCTTTAGAATTTTTTTTCACAGAAAAGAAACATTTCATACATGAGTTCTCTGGAGAAAACATGCACTTTCCTTAGCATATATTATTTTTAAGTTACCCCCTTAGGCTCCTGTAAGTTAAACACTGTGAGTCATCTAAATAGGGTAAGACTTAGAAAGTAGATTTTAAGATCCACAAATTTAAAATTCATGAGTATCTAAAACCATGATTTTGCCTTCTCTAATTCTTTAGTCCATAGAGTATTTTATGGCTTTCTTCTTTCTTCCCTCCTTTCCTTTCTCCTCCTCCTGCCCTCCCTTCCTCCTTCCTCTCTCTCCCCCCACCCTTCTCTCTCAATGGAAGGTATGTGGGGGAGGAGTCTCCTTATTAGGAAAAAAATTGCTATTTAATGTTCTGTGTAAGTTGAGTGGGGAATTTCTCATCACTATGAATGACTAGCATTTTGAGGAGTGCATTAAGTCTATTACCATGTCCTTGGATCTGATGATTATAAGATTATATATAACCTTAAGTAAATATCTTCCCTCTGAGCCTCAGTTTTGCTTTTAATCTCTAGAATAAAAATATACACGCATAGGTTTATAAGACTGGACCAGAAATATCAAAGGTACAAGGGAGAACAGGTAGGATGATCGACAATAAGAGAATGGGCTCTGGAGTCAGAGACCTGGATTTACTAGTGACCTGCTTGGGTTCAGAAAGGGAAATGTTAGCAACTGAGTATTCTAGATTAAGGTAAAATCCAATTTAGAAATAGTATAATTACCAGAAGTTAGGGTTGTTCAGCAATGCTTGAAATGATTTATTCCTATTTAAATTGAATGATATTTCCTATGACATTTCCTAATGGAGCTTGTTTTCATCAACATATACCACTATTCGATTAAACTTGTTTACAAAGAAAAAAATGTCTTCTACTGAATGGTTTTTGAAGGTTGAGGCATTAATTCCTAACTGAGAAGTGCCACTCCACCTAGTGACAGCTCCATAAATTACAGTTATTAGGCTTAAATAGAATTCCCAAAGGTCTTGTCATTCAATTTTAGGCTAAACCTTTTGAAGAACTTACTATGTGCAAGTTCTTCAAAATGGATACAGTAGTTATACAGGGAAAACTACTTTTTTCCCTGTATAAATAAAATCCAGCTCTGCTCATTGTACAGCTTACCTCCTGATATAATATTTAGTGAATTTCTGTGAGAATTACCAGCCTGATCCACAGTGCTTATTACTGCTTATTCTTCTTAGATTATTCACTCTCAGGTACTATCCAGGTAAAAAGATTTTCTAACTCAAATAAATAAGTGTTGAGACACTTTTCTCTCATGTAATTTATATACATGATGTTCAAGATTCAAAGCCAGTCTTGAGACCTTTTTTTCTGGAAATCTTTCCTCCTGTATGCTCTACAAGTGGAATTAGAGGTGCTTTCACTATGCAAGTGCTTATGTGCCAGGAAGAATTTTGAACACAAAAACCAGAAAGTTGGTCCTGTAGCTCCAGCTCTTGTCACTTGACAATTCTGTCATCAGTGACACTATTCAGCAACTCTTTGTTGTCTAATCAATTCTCTCACATGTGTATAATTTAGTATTTGATCTATACCAACATTCCACTTCTAGCTAGTGCCAGCCACTTCACCCAGAACCACTTGTAAGCCAGGTTTGAATTCTCTCTCTGTGGTACTAGGGAACCTCCATGATGTCACAGATGTGAATTGAGGGAAAGGTAAATAGTGCAGTATAAGTACTCTCAGTGCAAGATCATGTAATTGATTTGTCCAACCCGAGTCCCAACTTGTGTATACCACTTCCGCTTGACTGTGGCATGTTGCTGTGCATGCCTGACCAACAGTGGGAAGGGAAATGACCCCAGGGAGCAAAACTGAGGGCAGCATTTCCAGTTGTTTGGTTTGCATAAAGATACGGCTGGAAATGATGGCTAATGGGTTAATTGAAGGATCAGAGACTTGGCAACTAACAAGAAACCTGGGAACTAGAAGCTTTAGGGAAGAAGTATGTGAATGGGCATCTCAGAATAAGCCGCAAGTGCAAGGATATTTGTGTTTGTGTGAGAGCTCATCAGAGTCCTCTCCTGCAAAGAAGGCTCTAGGTGGGCAGCATAGCCAATACTGGGGATGTTAATCCTCCTCTTTCTCCAGCCATCCCAGTCCTTGCCCAGTTGTGCTACATTCTGGGAAAATTCTCTCCACTTTCTATTTTTCAGTCTAGTAGTGTCTGTTCTGAGATTCAACCCATCAATTAAGCATAAGTAATCCCTCCTTTCAATTTCTACAATCTATCTTTGTTATAGTGTAAATGGACGCAGGTATGACTTCCTATTGCTATGGACACCAAACTTGTGAAACAGGTGCTAATGTACAGGAAAATGGTTTATTCAGATGCCAGCCATCTGGAACATGGAGGACTCATATCTCAATACCTATGTTCACATCTCAGTGCAGGCAGAGGTTTTTATAAGGGGGCAGAGGGGAAGCAGAACAAAGAGATCAAGGGAAAGGGTTAAAAAGTTCTCTACATGCAGATCAGTACAGTCCATTCTGATAAAACAAGTCACAGTCCGGCGTGCATCATCCTGGTTTAGTCATCCTGTCTCCACGTCATCCTGGCTCCAAAGGTGAAAGTCAACAAATGGCTTGGAGTTTGGATGCCTGAAGGTCGGAGTCTGTATCTTTTGAAGTTAGTTCCTAGGATCCTTACACAAACATGCTATTTACCTACAGGCTACTTATTAGAGTCAGCATTTACAGAAACAATGTCAAAAGAATGGTGGGGTAGGTTACAATTCCCCATTGTTACAATAGCAACTTGTTCTTGTAATACATCCAATTCCTTTACCAGTCTCTTAGAGAATATTACTTGTAAAGTTTCTTTTGCTTATTTTACTCCCCAGGGGTTCACTATTGTTTGTTGGATTTGGTGCCTCTCTGGTGGTGTTAAGCACCCCTCAAATAAGGATGAGTCAGGACATATACCTAGGTTGTGGGTTTGATCCCCAGTTGGGGCACATGTGGGAGGCAACCGATCAATATTTCTCTCTCACATCAATGTTTCTCTCTTCCTCTCCCTTCCTGTCTCTAAAATCAATGGAAATATCCCTGGATGAAAATTTTTTTAAATGAATTTTTGGAGTCTCAAAAAGGAATACTAGGAGACCTACACTGTACACAGAAATTACAGTGTACTGTAGTAAGCATGTGAACACACATGCATCATTCTCAGTAGAACATAACAGAAGACTTCAGGCAAGGGCATGTTTTGGCAATGCAGCTTTGAGGAATGCCCCGATTCCTCACAGGGAAACATCTGGTTGGTAATGACAGTATTCGGCCTGTCCCAGATGAGATACTGACAAGTCAAGGAAAACCCTGTAAATGGGGGCTTATCATTTTACCTCTAACCACATCACCTTGAAATTCTAGCACTCTTACAATGTATGGTTGCAAAAGCTTCTTTTCTACCACCGGCATCTTTCTGCTACATTGTCCACAAATTACAATAACTGGGTATCACACAAATGCACTCAATCTGCAACTCTGTAATAATAACCAACCTAGCTCTAGGAGGGAGTGACCCCGCCCTAACCCAATGCAATCCAATATATAATTGTTGTACACAGCTCTCTCACTCTTCCCAACATCTGTCTCTTCACATTAATTTTCCTTTGGGAAATTTCCTTCTTTTACTGTAGGCGGTCTTAATAAGACTGTCAAAGTCCCTGAAGCTATGGGGTAGACGCATGATCCTAACTTGAAGAAAGATTGGTAGAATTTGATTATTGAGTACAAGACCAAACAGAAAGCCCTGGCTGGCGTAGCTCAGTGGATTGAGCGCGGGCTGGGAACCAAAGTGTCCCAGGTTCGATTCCCAGCCAGGGTACATTCCTGGGTTGCAGGCCATAACCCCCAGCAACCGCACATTGATGTCTCTCTCTCTCTCTCTCTCTCTCTCTCTCTCTCTCTCTCTCTCTCTCTCTCCTCCCTTCCCTCTCTAAAATAAATAAATAAAATCTTTAAAAAAAAAAAAAGACCAAACAGAAAATACAGAAACTGAGCTATTTTGATGGCAGGGCTCTATATGGATTGTCCCCTAGTTTCTATAACCTAGATGCCTAAGTTTATCTGGTTTTCATTCTTAAGGCTATTGGTCTAGCCTTTTCTTTTATTTTTTAAGGATTTTATTTATTTATTTTTAGACAGAGATGAAGGGAGGGAGGAAGAGAGGGAGAGAAACATTGATATAAGACAGAAACATCAATCAGTTGCCTCTACAACACTCTGAACTGGGGACCTGGCCCGCAACCCAGGCCTTTGCCCTGACTGGGAATTGAACTGGCTACCTTTCAGTTTGCGGGACAACACCCAATCCACAGAGCGACACGGTCAGGGTGGCCCAGCTTTTTCTTAGATTTTATGAGCTGTTCTCTGTCCTGCTGATAAATGTTGTTTTGCTTAGGACAACCCTAAGGAGTTTTTACTGTTTGCAATCAAAGGAGCCTACCTGCCCCATTTGTTAATGTCACTGTAAGCCGTTTCCCTAAATTCAAAAGCTATAACCTTTAACAACTTACATACTGTAGATTACATAAGAGTTTTTAAAACTAAACACTAGCATTTGTACAAAGTCTTTGAACAACCCCAAGTTAACTTCAAATTTCATTTCATCCCCAAAAATGGTGGAGTATTTTATTGAGTGAAATAATACATTTCTGCCAACAGAGTAGTAACCAAAAACACTTCAGTAAATGGGCTTTAGTCTCCACCCTTTCAAACTTACTCTAAGTAAAAAATAAACATGAAACCCACATATGATTGGTCTTTCCAACTTTAGTATATGCAAATAAAAATGACAACTTTAAAGTAAAATACTTGGTTTTAAAAGAGAGAGAAATCATATCAGACTGAAAACACCGGCCAATTCCTAGTCAAAGGCACACAAAATTACCTCCAAAGGAAAACTGACCAGAGAGACAGTGAAGTTTCTGCTTTCAGCTTTGAAGACTGAAACTTAAAATGCATTCACTCTTTCATCTTCTAATGTAAGATAACCTACTCTCAGAAACAACGTAAGCATTGTTACAGTAGTCTAGCCGAAATGAAAATATGGGCCAAGTTACAGTTCACTTAATAACCTACCTTGGAAACCTTTGAAAATTAGCCATGCATCAAAGTATTTACATAAGTTCAAGTCTTTATCTTAAGATAAAAGGGAGCACAGGCCCTTAACCTCCTTTAAAAAGAACATTTAAATTAAACCTTTGTTACAACCAGTCAAAACTTTCATTCAGAAATGTTATTTAAATATCAAATTTCTCTTCACAGACGCTATGTCCATTTTCTTCATAATCTTCTCTTGTTACCACCATATCTTCAAAATCATCATTCTCTGATATCAATTTTCCACCTTCCCAGGAGTAAGTAATAGGGCTAAAAATAAAGATAAAATTAATGAATCCAGCTGATCTTATAGAACTAAAAAGCCAAAAAACATTAATTAATAACTAAAATGTAGCCATTGCTACCCAACAGACAGTCATCTGAAGTGTAGAAATAAGCACAAATTTCATAGGACTAAAGCAAACTAAGAACGAACCTTGGTCAACACTACAAGTGTTCATTTGAATTTTTTCCCTGTGCCCTGAATTCTAATAAAAGGCAAGACTACAGGCAAAAGATCAAAAACGTATGAAACAAAAAACACTGTCATAACCGAGTCTAACTTTTCTGTATGTGGCAAAGATATGTCATCTCATTAATTCACACAGCAACCCATGAAATACCTATTATAGTTCCCATATTATAGATTTAAAAAACGAGGTTCCGAGAGATGAAGTCTGGAACTAGGATTTAACCTGGAACTGTCTTCACACAGTCTGTGCCTTTGCTGCTATACTTTGTTGCCTCTAACAAATGAGGCATTTGGAAAACACAGGCCACGATAAATAGATGGTAGGACATGGACCGTAAGTAAAACTAGAGCATGTTAAACATTTAGTTGCCTTTATTTACAAGAGTGTTTGTACTTTGTTATAACTCAATTATATTTCTACTACTCTTCTACCCCCAATTCAGTTTCCAATCTAAAAAATGAGAAAGAAAAAAGTTAAATGTTTTCCTTATTGGATTGACTGCATTTCCTAACCTTAGGAAACACACACACACACACACACACACACACACACACACACACACAGCCTGTCCAGAATGTAATACGAAAAAGAGGCATTTATTGAAGAAGATGCAAGATACAAAAAGCATTGTACATCGTCATAGGATAATGATGTTTCAGTCCCCTTCAAAGTAGGCACCTTGGGACCTCACATGGTTCTCCCTGTTGCCATCAGCTGCCCCATTGTATTTTCCTGAATCTCATCGACAATCTGAAATCTCTTCCCTCTCAAAGGTGATTTTAGTTTTGGGAAAAGCCAGAAGTCACAGGGTGCCAAATCCAGGCTGTAAGGGGGCTAAGTCACTTGGGTCATTTGATGTTTCACCAAAAAACTCTACACTACACATGATGCATGAGCAGGAATGTTTTCAAGATGAAGCTGCCAATCACCAGATGCCTATAGCTGCAGTCTTCTGAATCATCCCAATAGTTTCCGTGGAGAAGTGTTCAAGTTTCATGCAAAATCTGATGCAAATTTGTTGTTCTACTTGCTCATTTGTTTTGAATGTAATGGCCACACAGTACACATGCTCACTCAACAGCATCTACTGCCTCCACTGACTAGTACAGTGAAGTCATCACTATTCACACACACACATTCCAGTCCACTTTCCTCGGCTGCCAGGTTACATCGATGTTATGCAAACCATTCTGATTATATCAATAATGGCTGGACTTTTTCTGGACAGACTATATACACATGTATGTGTGTGTGTGTGCATATGTGTATGTATATATATTTATATATATATATACATATGCAGTAGATATGCAATAAAGATTTGATAAATAAAGAACAAAACTACTTTCGTGCATCCCTTGGCCTGTAATATGTGTACAACTTACATTTAAAATACAGGATAAAAATTCAATATGCTTCATACTCTTCTACACAGAGTGTATGAACATTAATGCTGATAAAAAAATTTCAATATCTAATGGTTATTTATTCTTTTATGTGATAGCTATAAAACTAAGTGATCAGATGAGGGCCTTCTGCTAACTGCTACAGATTTTAAAAAATTTTAGTTTAGTTTTAAAACACAACTTTAAAATTAAGCCAGGGTTGTAGGATCTTATTTGCAACTCTGCCACTTAAGACTTGGGAGAAAGTGGTTATTTAGAGCTCCTGCCTCAGTTAAAGAAAACTGGATTTTGGTCTGCTCACCGCTATTAACTCACTGTAAAGGTTCGGCTGACTCATGAGCCCTTGCTTCTTTACTTACAAAGTAAGAATGTTGAACAGAATGATGTGTAAGCCTTTCTTACAGCTCTGAAATTTTACCTTTTTTTTTTTTAACCATGAAAGTGGAAATTACATCTGCTTTTTCTCATAAAAAAAGGATAGAGGGATATAAAAGTTTGGGGTGTTTTTGGTCAAAACACACTTTACAGGGTGTCAGACCCACACTCCCCTGCAGTGCCTGGAGCCCTGCCAGGGTGGTGGCTGCAGAGGCCACACCCCGATCTGGAGTGCAGCCCATTCAGGAATGCGGCTTGGCTCAGGGCTACGGGTTTGGCTGCTGCTGCACCCAGCCAGGTAACTAGCCCATATAAAACAGTTCTGAATTTAAGAAAAACTAGTTAAATGTAAAAGTTATTTTAAAAATATTTTAAATTACCTTAAAACATTTCAAAAGAACTTATGAATTGGCATAACTTATTTATGAATCAATTCTTAAATTTCTCTAGTTGACACTCTCAAGAAATGACACACTTCAGATAACTCAAATAAATAGTAACCTAATTGTTTTGCTTGTAAAAATCTCTTAGGAGTGAGGACTGACTTACTATAGGGAAGTGATCTCCTGTTAACCAAGTGCCCATTATGTACCAACCATTACATAATGGTGGGCACTTTGCATACATCACCCCACTGAACCCATTGATACGGAACGTTTATCACATCAACGCGTGGGAAAAGGAAAATGAGGGCCCCAGAGATGAAATTAACCTGCCGTGGTAGAACCAGGTGTTAAACTCATCTGCTTGCAGACAGACCATTTCATCTTCAAAATGACTTCCATGTTTTGTTTCTACTACATGCGAGCCAACACTTACTTTTCGGGCAGCACAACAGAAACATCATAGTCCGTTGGAGTGAGACATCGAACCTCTGAGTAAACCCGATCCCTAAATCCTGGGAAGAGGGAATTTCCTCCCGTCAAAACGATGTTCTTAAAAAAATGTGGCTGCATTTCTTTAAGAGAAAAAAAAAAGGAGAAAGGGAAGGAAAAAAGCATCAGAAAATCTGTTTACTTATCTTTCTGGAATGGCAAGGATGAGGGCTTAGGTTAAAGTACTTAGGGATTATAGCTACTGGTTGGAAAACTACATAATTTTTTTATTACCACATAAATGATAATTTCTAAGATTTTGTAATGAAGTTATAGTTTATACAAATAACTACATTAAACAGAAATATGACCTCACAGATATTTATAAGAAAGGCTAAAGTGAAGGGTTGAACTATGGGCTATTTCTGATATTACACAGCTATACATAAATCAGTAACATTTTAGTAGCAAGCATTTGATAATTACAATTATTCTTCCCCAAAATGGAAGGAGTCTTTGTGTAGGAGACTGTGAGTTAGTATAAGAATGAAAAGGAGTTCCTTCATGACATTTTAAATGGGAATCCAAATTTCCAAGCTATCTCACTGAGACAGATATTTAAGTACTGTGCAATACTTACATTTGATAGTGAAAAATACTCATAACTGATAATAATATTTAAACAATACTTAACTCATTAAAGTTACATGATGGCAAACTTTAACTGCCATATGGTTAGCCAGTATTAAAAGCCTACTGAGCACCCTCTGGGAAATTTATCAGGAATTATTACAATAATAAGTACTGGCTATCCCACTTCAGAAAACAAGGAATGAGTTTCCATATACTTGACACTGAATCACCTGGCATGACATTAAAGAAGTATAATATAAAATGCTGTATATCTCATGACTGTAACTTTACATAAAATTGAAATTAATGTGAATATAGTTGTGAAATAATTATATTAAGGTGTTGGCAATTACATGACTTTCTTCTTCATTGTTTTCTCTCTCTCTCTTTATATATACATAGGGAGGAAAGGATATTGCCTGTGCTAGATTTTCTCCAATGCCTAGCGTGTTCCTTATGAACTAAGAAGACATTTCCAAGATATAAAAGGAGTCTAAAACTCGAGAACATTAGTTAAATCATGCTTCAGGAGAACCTAGACAACATTATGAAGCATCATACTTCAATCATTAAAATTAACTTCCTGAATATCAATCCAAATATAGCAGAAAGAATAAAACAGTCCCACCAACAGAAGAAAACCATTAAATTGCTAAGTTATAAAGTTCTATTCTGTGCCAATTTGGTTGAAGTTAAAATTTCCTCTAAAAGGGATATGACAATTTAATATTCATGGAGAGATGAACTTATTCAAGTTTAAGTGGCCACAATGACTTCTCCTATATCAGATTTATAACCTAGGGTCAATAAAGAATTACTCAAGTACGTTATTGGAGCTGGAAATCTCTACAAATCGAACAGACTTGCCACTTGCTGAAATTATTTAGAAGAAAGAGATGACTTCTCTAGGTCTCATGGAGCTTATGGTTTTTTAAAAATATCATTACTACTCAATATTTTAACTATGTACCTTCAGGTAAGTTCTGAATTGAATAGACAATAGCTTCTGGAATTCCCATTTCTTGAATGCCTATATCAGAAGGATTAAAAAGTATTTCTGGAACAGCAAATCTTTCATTGGTCAGACGAAGAATTTGTTCCCCAGATTTATATTTTCCACTTAACACCATCTCTTCCCTTGGCTAAAAGAGAAATAAGATAAAACGTTTAAGATTATCTGGTTTGCCTGACTAATAACATTTAGTAATATGTAATACTAATACATGAACATGTTTTTGGAAGGTTCAGAATTCTTAAAAGTTAGGAAACAAGTGGTCTTCTCTCCTGTTGCCTACACTACATAAGTAAATAATTATTGACTCTAACACAGCTATTTCCCCAATGATAATCTGGCTTTATTACACACATCTTAAAACAGAAAGAAAAGAACAGATTGGAGGTAACTTTATAATCTACCTATAGTACTAGACGGATTCTGGTTTCTGAGAACAAAGAATGTACTCTCAATAAAAAACCCTCTCTTATGTTTCTTCCACTATCCACTTTCACTCCCCTATGTTAGCTGCTTACTGAATACTGTGGTTCCATTCCATCAAGATTTTCCCTTTCCCTTGTACAAAAAGCCTGCAAAATTTATCGTTTATCCAATCTCCATTAAAAAATCTGTTTCTGGCCCTGGCTGGTGTGGCTTGGTGGATTGAGCGCTGGCCTGTGAACCGACAGGTCACGACTTCAACTCCCAGTCAGAGCACATGCCTGGGTCGTGGGCCAGGTGCCCAGTTGGGAGAATGTAAGAGGCAGCCAATTGATGTTTCTCTCCTTCTCTTCCTCCCTCCATTTCCCCCTTCTAAAAATAAATAAATAAATAAATAAATAAATAAATAAATAAATAAATAAATAAAATCTTTTAAAAAATCTGTTTCCAGCCCTGGCTTGTGTGGCTCAGTGGATCAAGTGCCAGCTTGCAAACCAAGGGGTCGCCGGTTCCATTCCTAGTCGGGGCACATGCCTGGGTTGCGGGCCGGGCCCCCAGTTTGGGGTGCGTGAGAGGCAACCACATATCGATATTTCTCTCTCTTTCTCCCTCCCTTTCTCTCAGTCTAAAAATAAAATAAATAAAATCTTTTTAAAAAAGTTTCCAAATGGTTTAAGCAAATATATGGCCATTATCTGTGAAATCCATGTTATTTATTTCCTGCTAACCCACCCATCTGTGAGCTATGTTCCTGTAGGGGCCAAAAAAAATAAATCTCCTTTTATAACATCTTTTATAACATTCTACATAATTAAAATAATATTCCCTCTCGCCCTGGCCAGAGTGGCTCAGTTGGTTGGAGCACTGTCCCATAGACCAAACCCGTGGGTTTGATCCCTGTCAGGGCACATACTCAGGTTGTGGGTTCCATCCCCAGTCAGGGAATATATAAGAAGGCAACCAACCGATGTCTGTCTGTCTGTCTGGTCTCTCTCTTTCCCCCTTCCTCTCTCTGTAAAAGCAATGAAAAACTGTCCTTGGGTGGAGATTAAAAAACATTTTTTAAATAATAATATTCCCTCTCAATTTTACTAAGAATCATAAGCTTTTCTACATTCAGTTGTAGACATTCACTTCATTTGACTAATATATGCAATTTTCCTCCCATGACAGAGTATATCCTAATCCTTTAAGTGGGTATGGAAATACTTAAAATATATGAAAAATATCAATGATTTATTAGTACAGAGTATTATATATATTAACATATTAAATATGTTATATATGTTAAATATGTTATGTATATATGTTATATATACATATTAATATATATTACTATATTTTAATATATTAAAAATATATTAACCACTATACTGTACACCTGATACTAATACAAAATGATATTGAATGTAAACTGTAACTAAAAAGCAAAATAAAACAATACTATGGATTTTTTAAATATAATCAGTCACCTCCCCTCTGTGCAGATTACAGCTTCCTCAGAGAGGCTTTTTCTGACTCCCAAATAAAAGGTCCTTCCATTATTCTCTACTTTTGTTCTACATATTTCCCTTCATAGAGTGTATTGCACACTCTCGCATACCCACTACACAGCATAGCACTGACAAACAATGAATATTCAATAAACTCTTGAATGATGGCATGTAAGCCAACAAAGTTTTGTTATCATTTGAAAATTCCAAATGAAATTCCATTTTTAATCCTAAAAATTAAACAATATTCACAATACTAAACAAAGAAAAAGGAAAACTACAAAAACACTTTTAACCCAATTAAAGTATTATTACACTAGCAAAGAGAAGAATATTATTTCTTTACAGATAAAGTATTGTTCTTTCTCAGGTAAAATGAAAAATATTTACTAATTACCAGAGAAATGCAAATAAAACCACAATGAGATACAATCTCACACCTGTCAGAATGGCTATCATCAATAAATCAACAAACAACAAGTGCTGGCGAAGATTTGGAGAAAGGGGAACTCTTTTGCACTGTTGGTGAGAATGCAGATTGGTACAGCCACTATGGGAAGTGGTATGGAGATACCTCAAAAAACTAAAAATGGATCTGCCCTTTGACCCAGCAATCCCACTTCTGAGAATATATCTGAAGGAACCCAAAACACTAATCGGAAAGAACATAAGCACCCCTGTGTTCATTGCAGCGTTATTTACAATAGCCAAGATATGGAAGCAGGCCAAATGTCTATCAGTAGATGAATGGATAAAACAACTATGGCACATTTACACAGTGGAATTCTACTAGGCTGTTAAAAAGAAAATTTTACCCTTTGCTACAGTATGGAGGAACCTGGAGAACATTGTGTTAAGTGAAATAAGCGAGTCAGAGAAAAGACAAATACCATATGAATCTAATGAACAAACTGATAACAAGTAAAATAGGGACAGACTCATAGATGGAGAGCAGGATGATAGCTAGTGGGTAGGGGAGGTGAGGGGTTGAAGGGACTGGGCAAAAATGAAAAAGGACTCATGGACATGGACAACAGTATGATGATTGCTGGGAGAGGGGATATAAGGAAACTAAAAGGTGTAAAAAAATACAACAGATTAAATTTTAAAAATAATTAAAATAGCCCTGGTTGGCATAGCTCAATGGATTGAGCTCGGGCTGCGAACCAAAGCATCACAGGTTTGATTCCCAGTCAGGGCACATGCCTGGGTTGCAGGCCACGTCCCCAGTGGGGGCCACATGAGAGGCAACCACACATTGATGTTTCTCTCTCTCTCCCCCTCCCTTCCCATCTCTAAAAAAAAAATAAATAAAATACTTAAAAAAAATAATAATTAAAATAAAGAAAAATATTTACTATAAATTTACAATTCATTAAAAGTGATATTGGCTTGAGTTAAAAGGACGTTAACTCATTTTGTCAACGCTCAAAATAACCTGAGACAGATGCAGACTTGGGGAATTCAGTTGACAAAACATTAGAGGTTATTTAGTCCATAGCCTTGATTTTACAGAAGAGAATCATGTGGCTTACCCTGGATCAAATACCTAACTCGGGGAAAGAGCCAGAACTAAATATCCTTGTTGAATGTTAGCTCTAAAGCCATTAACTGTTAGCATGTAATCTGGAACTACAAACAGTTTCTGGTTTTATGAGTATAATTCCAAAAGAGATTTTTATTGCAGACACAGACAGTCAGAGGAACTTATAGACCACTGGGAGTTGCTATTTTAGTCAATGGAGGCCATGGTTATTGCACAACCCTCATAAACCTCATTCTGGTACCATGAAAGAAATGATCAGTTCAAATTACAATGTCTCTGCATAAAGTGGTAATCTTAATTATGAAGTCTATTTCTCAATTTAGGTCAGTCAAGTGCATTACACTTTAGTAGGTATCTTCTTTCTGATAAGAGATAAAACTGGAATTTCTATCAGTTGTAATCAGTGATATTATAAACATTATTGTTCTTGTTACTATCATCATTACTAGAAAATCAAGTTGTAACCTTTCCCCAAGTACTTAAAAATATTCTTGAATAAACTATCAAGGTCCAAATTTAACAACAGCTTAAATGCAACAGCTCTCAAATTTTTCTCTGTATGTAATATTGTTTTTCTAATTTCATAAATACTTATCAGCTCTCATCAAAGTTGTTCCATTATCAGGAAACAATGCAAATGATTTAATCAAATATTAAATTCAAAATAATACACTTTAGGAGTATTCCTAGCATGCAGAAAATTTAACTTTCTACATTTTAAAAATTATTGAGATATATGAATGATTCAACATGTACTGTGAATGTATAAATTTTAACACTAATTGATAAAGTAAATATTAAACCATAATTTTTTAAATAAATATTCAGTGTAACACTCCGTCATCTGGCAAAGTCCAGTCCAACTGACTCTGTTCATTCAACTGAATGACTCATTCAATTAAAGTACACAAGGAAAAAGAAATCTGTACAGAGTTAATGAAGTGCAGTCTGCAACAACATTCTGATCAGGAGGGCAAAAGCCAATGAAAGAGCTGCAAGTAATGTGATGTGGCTTCTGCCTTTCTTCTCTGAAGATAATGCATAAAACAATGGTCAACTGTAATAACCACACTTCTACTGGCTCACTCTGTAAGGTGCATGTTTGAGAAAACAAGGCTCAGGATTTGGCAAGGAGGAAATTGGCATTGTTTAGCAGAGATAATGGCTAAAAAATGTGGCAGGCTGTCATCTGCAGGGCAGGAGAGAAATACATTTTAAAAAAAACAGATAGAGTTCCAAAAACAGTTGGCAGTCCAATCACTTGGAAGAGACTTTGTCTTTTTTTAAGATTAAGTAAGCTTTCAAACCCAGGCACTAAGCATTTCCAGGGACAGGAGTTGAGAACATGAATATGGCCCATAAGGTGTATTTTATCACCGGAGTGTTTCAATCAGCTGTAATACATAAGGATGATCAAATGTGCCTAATGAGAAAGCAGACTGACAGCTTTGAGTTTGGAGCAGTCTATAGGGATACAAACACACCTGCTACAAGCTACATCGGACTTGGGCTTCCAGTTTCTCTTCCTAGTTCATGTCCTCCAGGCAACCTGATCACATTCGTCCCAATGCCCACTTCTGAAAGCCTAGGTCCCTCCACAAGGATCTGCTTCTAAGGACATTATGGGATTATTTCAGTTTTATAAGGCACTGAGTAGCCTTCTTTGAACTCTGATTTGTATTGCCCCTCAATAACCTGGCCAAAAAACCTGTTTTTACATTTCAGGCATGCAAAGGAGTATAAATAATTATATAAAACCCATGTGTCTATCAACCAGTTTAATGCAATTTTACAGATAAATTAATACTCCCCTTTAAATTTAATCATTCGTATGCATAGTTTTATATTTTTACTTCATATTTCTACAGTCCTAAACAACAAATTATTATTCTGCATAGCCTGAAACTACATATCCTTCTAAAACTTACTTTTAGACATGTTTCTGAGACTTATCTGTGATGATCTTGTAGTTCTACTTCATTTTCACTACTGCTTATTTTATAATACGAATATACCAAAATTTATTTATTCTACCATTAGTTGATTTTTTAAAATGTTAACTTAGTTTTATATACGGGCAAATATTATAATTTGTTTAATTTATAAATTTTTAAAACAATTTTTCAATTACAGTTTAGAGTTAGCATTATTTTGGTTAGTTTCAGGTGTACAGGGTAGTGGTTAGACAATCATATACTTCACAGAGTGTTCCTCCTGATGTTTCCAGTACCCACCTGGATATCCAGGCTCTTCCCAAATGTTCACTCTTCTAAATACAGTGCAATGAACATTACCATAAATGTCTCCTTGTGCAATATGCTTACATTTCTAACCAGAGTTCTTTTAACTTCCTAACAGTCTTTATCATGCCAGTCCCTAGAAAGGTTATCTTCACATTTACCCAAACACAGAACTGAAAGTTTACCTGGGCTGATCAAAGATAAGGAGAAATTACTTTATTTTCACATCCAAGATAAACTGCTTCTCAACACTTGGAAAGTATGCTGGATTTTGCCCTTTTCCACTACAATCTGATCATAGCAGACCCAACATGAGTAAAATTCAGCCCTGGATCAGCCGTATCAGTAATATTCACAATAGGCAAATAGCCAACTTCTAATGGAATTTAAACTAATTCTTAAAAAAACAGAAAAGGGTTAACCACGATACACGTAATGATACTGTTTATCTCCAGATTTGTCCATCCACTATCATTCAGCTGACAGTTCTTTTTCTAAATAAGTTTAGTGAGATATTTATTTATCATTTATGCACTTGTGCCCAAAGAAAGGGCCACTGGGAAGGCACTCGGCCAATCCCGGCTGGATGCTTTTCAAATCTGACTGAGGTGGTCACTGGAAGGAATATAAGCAAGGATCTTTCAAATTACCTTACAAAAGCCCTTTTTAATTGTACTAAAGTCAGGCAAAACATAGTCTATCATTACTGTATTTTCTTCTCCTTTCAACCTGGAAAACAAAATATAGACTTATGAATTATTCTAGCTACGTGTAACATTCCCAAAAGTCAACCAACCTCCCAGTTCCCCGATTAGCCTTATGCTTACTTGGCAATATCCATATCTCTATAAAAGTCCTGAGACACATAGCAGACATCTTCTTTCACTTGGTTAATCACGTGGGTTTCATCCATAACATGTAACTGCCTAAAAAGAAATAAAAATTATACAATTTCAAATTGAAAAAAAATTAAATGTAACTTAGAACTATCTTTTCTGGAATTCAATTTTCAGTAACTAATATTCTAAAATAGTAAATTCTTGAGTGTGTAAGATACTTGTAACTTTATGAAATACTTATTTCCATTGTCTTATTTTTAATCTCCACATTATCCCCTGGAAGGCAAAAGTACGTCCAGTTTACAGAAGGAAACTGAAAACAGGTGTTAAGGGGAAGGTTTACCCAATGAAAGTGCAAACTTTTTCCTCCAACCATTCTGAAAGAATCTTCCCTTAACTTTTTGCACTTTCTTTTCTGATCACAGAAGTATCGTGAGTCAGCACACAACAAATGCTTAATAAATAATTGATGAATGAATCTCAGAAAACACGGGCTTAATGTATAAAGATTTTTTAAAAGCAAATGAAAATGGAAGGTTATTTTCTTTGAATATTTTTCTCTGCACAGATTATATACATGTTTACATTTTATGTCTAAGACTAAATATTTTCTCATACTTTTGCATATTATTTTTCATTACCTATTCTTTAAAAATGACTTTTTCACTGCCCTAAAATATTCAACCAGAGGGATCTATTAAAATGTATTTATCAGTGTTCCTAATGTTGGAAGTTTAGATCAGGGAGGAAAGATACTTGGGTGTTTATAAACATGGACTTTGGAGCCAAAGACTTAGTTTTAATCCCAAATTAGTAGCCAAGTTACTTTACCTCTTTAGGAGCCTATCTCTTCAACTCTAAAAAGGTATTAAGATCACCGACTGAATACATCTATAAGTACATCTTTCTAATATACATGTAAAGAGTTTAGCATAGTCCCTGTATTCAACAAATAAAAGACATTAGTATTACTTCTATCTTTTTGCTTTTGTTTTATATATTGTCATATACACTGTATTCCACCTTCTCCAAGATACACAACTGTACCAATGAGAAGAAAAAAATGCTAATTAAACCATGAAAATTCTGAGGCACCAATGATTGACTATTCACCTGAATTTCAAAGGTTAAAACATAAAAAAAGTACAACTCAGAATCAATGAAATATAGGTATTTTTTAATCTATATCTCTGATTATTTCATTATTTATTCATACTCTCGGACACAGAATATGGAATACTCTTAGTTTCTTGGTATACCGCCAAATTATTTCCCAGAAAAGTTATTTCAAGCTGTGCTCTAATCAGCAGCAAATAAGAGTGCCCGTATCACAAATCTACACCATCTTTCCCCCCTTTTTTAAAAATAAATTTTTATTTATTATTTTTTAAAGATTTCATTTATTTATTTTAGAGAGAGGGAAGGGAGGGAGAAAGCGAGGTAGAGAAACACTGATGTGTGAGAGAAACATCAAGTGGTTGCCTCGCACACGCTCCCCAACCAGGGACAAGGCCTGCAACCCAGGCATGTGGCCTAACCAGGAATCAAACCTGCGACCTCTGGTTTTGCAGGATGACACTCAACCCACTGAGTCACAATGGTCAGGGCTTTCCTTTTTTTGAACTTGATTTTTAGAGAGAGAGAAAGGTAGAGAAAGTGAGGGGGACATATTGATTTGTTGTTCCACTTATTTATATATTCAATGGTTATTTCTTTATTTTTTAAATCTTCACCTGAGAACAATTTTTCATTGCTTTCAGGGAGAGAGTAAGGGAGAGAGAGAAACATTAATGTAAGAAACATTGATTGGTTGCCTCCCATATGTGCATGGACCAGGAATAGAACCTTCAACCTCAGTATATATGCCCTGACCGGGAATCTAACCCATAACCTTGGCACATCAGGGCTATGCTACCTGGCCAGGGCTACACCATCTTCTTCTGAAAAAAATTCCATTAATGTGGATTAAATGGCATTTTAATTTACATTTTCTCTACTAAGAAGTGCCATGAGGAACAAGCATTCCTGTCTGTTTTGTTAACTCATGTATCCTAAGAGCCTAAACAAATGCTTGATAAGTATTTGAATTGAATCTGTAATTTCTATAGAGTGTTTCACATTTTTTGTCTGAGAATTATCCCCCTATATCCTCTATCTGTGCCACTGACCATTTGTTTTCTGAGAATTATCTAACCATTTTATACCTGGGTAGCTTTCTTATGGGTTGATACATCAAAGAAAATAACTTGTCATATTTGTTTCAGGTTTATGTTTACCTTAGTTTTGCTTACAAGGGCTTTTGATATACATAAATAGGATTTAAATTTTTTGTGTAATTAAACAGAAAAGCTGGAAATATCTATTCTGTTTAAGGTCAGTGGTTTCCCTGATTACAAAGGAACAAAAGAGAGGTCAGAGTGCTTTTTTTTTTTTTTTTAAAGATTTTATTTATTTATTTTTAGAGAGGGAAGGGAGGGAGATAGAGAGAGAGACAGAGAAACTTCAATGTGCGGTTGCTGGGGGTTATGGCCTGCAACCCAAGCATGTGCCCTGGCTGGGAATCGAACCTGGGACACTTTGGTTCCCAGCCCGCGCTCAATCCACTGAGCTACGCCAGCCAGGGCGGTCAGAGTGCTTTTAATATTGCGTTTGCACTATGTTCTGATCACTTGGGTATATTCACTTTTTGAAAATACATTGAGTTGTACACTCAAGGTCTGTGAACTTTTCTTTATGTATGTTTTACTTCAACAAAAGTTTATTTTTTATTTTTTTTAACATTTTATATTTTTGTATTTTTTTAAAGATTTTATTTATTTATTTTTAGAGAGGGAAGGGCCGGAGATAGACAGAGAGAGAGACAAACATCAATGTGAGGTTGCTGGGGGTCATGGCCTGCAACCCAGGTATGTGGCCTGACTGGGAATCGAACCCGCGACACTTTGGTTTGAAGCCCATGCTCAATCCACTGAGCTATGCCAGCCAGGGCACAAAAGTTTATTTTTAAAAAAGTTGTATGTAGGAAAAAATATATCCTTTATTATTTCTTCTGCTGCTTTTATGCTTAGCAACAAGAAAAATAATTTCTTGTTGTGGTTTTGTTTTTAAATTTAAGTCTTAAATCCATTTCAACTTTACTATATGAGGCTGAGTAAAATTTTAATTTTTGTCCAAAGAGCCAACTTTCCCTGTATTTTCTCAGAATAATTAATCCCCTTATATTGGTTTCTGATATTTTCTTTAGTATATATTGCCTTTTAAAAAACCATACGTTTGATTCAAAAATAACCATTGCCCTGGCTGGGTGGCTCAGTTGGTTGGAATGTCATCCCATACACCAAAAGGTTGCTGGTTCCATTCCTAGTCAGGGCACACAGCTGAGTTTTGGGTTTGACCTTGGTCAGGGAGCATATGAGAGGCAACCAACTGATGTTTCTCCCTCACATCGATGTTCATCTCTCTCTCTCTCTCTTTCTCTTCCTGCCCCCACAACCCTCCAACCACCACTTCCTCTCTCTCTAAAATCAATGAAACATATCCTCAGGTAAGGATTTTAAAAAAAGATTACTACTCAGTCTCACTTAGTCATCAGTTAATCATTCTGATTTTTACAATTTAAAAAATGATTACTGTATCTACTAGAGAAAGTCTCCTTTCACTATTACTCCTTTCCATTACATTTCTGGGTATTCTTCCCAATTTGTTCTCTACAAGATGAATTTGAACAGCCTTGCTTTTTAAAATATATGATTTTGTTTTCATTCATCATGGCGGAATGATTAAGTGTACAGGCCCTGCATTCAAATAGCCTGGGCTTCGTGTAACATCCTCATCTGTCTTAACCTCCTCTGCTTTTCCAATTTGCTGCTTTTAAGCTGACTGAGGTAGGGCAACTCAACTTCCACACTTTCAAAAAATGAGCCCAATTCTATTTGGTTCTGCAATTGATAACATAATATTACAAATGCTATTTATGACTGTTCCATTTTTAGAATTAATCTATTACTTATTTATTTTTTATTGTTGTTCAAGTACAGTTTTCTGCCTTTCCCCCCACTCCTCCCCACCACCCCAGCTCTCCCTGCATTCCTCCCCCGTTTCCACCCCCCTTAATCTATCTATAAAATAAAAGATTTATTTTCCTTTTAGATCCTAATTTCCTTATACACATTTTAAATTTGTTTTACAATGTACATGTACAACATTTATATAATTTAAAAAATACTATTAATATATTAAATTCTGTAGAGTTTGGAAATGTCTTTCTTGGTGGGCACTACCATTTTATATTCTAGAAAGCTTTTCAACTTAAACATCATTAGTATTTATATATGTGAAATAGCTTTTTAAGCAATAATAACATAGAATTGTCGCTTGAAGTTACAACTAAGGGTAAAGAATAGTTTTAAACTGCTTGAAAAGGTTCACTGCCAGCATCCCATCCTCCCAAAGAATAAAAGCTAAGTATTACCTATAAGATATGATCTCCTTTAGATGATTGGTTAGGAGTTTTCCTCCCACATTTATCCTAAAAAGGTAGAATGCAAATTTGGATCAGTTTATCACACATTTTTCCATTTTGTCCTAAGAAATACCATAAAAATCGACTGCAACTTACCTAATAATTGCTTCTTTTTTCTTTTTACTTCTACAATAAGGGACTATATGTGTAAAGGAATATCCACTATCCACAATGATACAGCATAATTCGGAAGGATTATCTCGGAAATACCTATGTGCACTGAGAGCCCCAGCTATTAAAAAAACATAAAGAGAAAAATAAACATTAAAGTATAATTAACTTAAAGTAATAAAGAAAAGTAGAAACTAAGGCAAGCAAAGAAAAAATATTTCTTCTATTTGTAAGAAAAATGATCACTTACTATATTCATAATTCTGGCAAGAGTTCTTTACAGTGTTTCAACTTTAAAACATCACCTTTTTGTGATAAATATGTGTTCAATTTTTAAAGGTAAACATTCATTTCAAAGCTTATAATAATTATTTTAGCAGCAGATAATTTTACTGAGCAGTCATTACATGCTGGGCATTATTCTAAACTCCTTTAGGGTGTATTTTAATCTCACAACAATCTCATTTTACAGAAACTGCAGCACAGAGAAGTTCAGTAATATACCTCGAAGTCACGCAATTAGAAACAGAGCCAGGATGCAAACCTAGGCACTGTGACTCTAGAGCAGAGCTCCTCAACCTTGAAAGTACTAACGTTTTGGGCCAGATAAGTCCTTGTTGTTGGGGCTTTACTGGGCACTATAAAATATTTAGCAGCATTGTGCCTTTCTACCCACTAGATGCTAGTAGCACTCGCACAGTTTTGACAACCAAAAATGTCTCCAGCCATTGCCAAAAGTCCCCTGAGGAGCCAAATCACCCTCGGCTGAGAACTGTTCTAGAGATTCTGCTCGTAACCATTACAGTATATTGTTCCTTTATGCAGACTTAAATTCTGAAAGCTAAATATGTGAATATGTTATTGTACAGCCATATAATGTAATTCTAACCTTTAATAAACTTACTTCTGGATGGTATTTACAGATTATTTTTCCTCATGTTGACAGCCTAAACTATTAACATTATTTCAATCAATAATAATAATAGCTAACACATCTGTAACAGAAAAAATAACTACCACAAAAACAATAATCTTTCAGAAATTAGAAATATGTCGCTAAGGAACTTCATTAGAGAGAAATATCATAATAGTAAAAAGATAAAATGGAACACCCTAGCCGGGTAGCCCAGTTGGTTAGGGCATCATGCCAATACACCAAGGTTATGGGTTCAATCCCCAGTCAGGGCACATGCAAGAATCTACCAATGAACACATAAATAAAGTGAAAAAACAAACAGACGTTTCTTTCCTTTTCTTTTCTCTCTTTTTCAAATCAAGCAATAAAAAATTTAAGATAAAATGAGAGAAATCTGAATAAACAATCTTTAAGGATCCACCTAGTTTTTAAATTCCATGTTTTATTTCCTTCAAATCTAAAAGAATGCCACCCAATATTCTTGTATTTTAAGTGTTCTTTTACCCTATCCACATCATATTCACATAATTCAATTTCAATCAAAACTTTAACTTACCATTTACTCTTAATACTGCTTGGAACTGGTATTCTTCAAATAGGATTTCATTCATGGATTCTTGAATTGAAGTGAAGTTAAAATATGGTTCTGTGATAATAATATTAGTATCTAAAAAATCAACCTATGAGAGAAAAAATCCCAAAAGTTTTATAACTTTGTGATTATAGTTATAAACACATGATTTACATAAACAAACTGATTTTATCCTCACAATATCCTAGGAGATTATTAAATTATTAACCTCTTACATGGGTGTAATAATCCAGGTCTTATTATAACCATTTAGGTGAACAAACTGAGGCACATAAGAGTTGAATAAGCTACCCACGTTCATGTATCTAGTTAGTGACAAAACTAGGATTTGAACACAGGAAGTCTGATTACAGAATTCATGCACTTTAACTATTATTTAATTTTAATTGTCTTAATGGTAACATGAATAAAAAGGTACTATCAAATGGTTTAAAGGTAATTATGCAAAAGTAATAACTACAAGCATTGGGGTTGTTGCTATTTTGCTTTTAAAAGTTAAAAGGCGAGAAGCTTGAGGATATTTAATATTTACATAATTCTCTCCTATGCATTCTCAAGCAGAATTAAAATTTGAACATTCTCTTCTGTATACTTAAAGTCACGCGACTGACATTAAAAGCACAAATTTCTCACATTGTAATATTCACACATTTAGATATGTAGGTAAAAATATTTTATTGTGAAAATAAAAATAAGATACTGATTTGGTCTATTAACAGTAGAAATCTGAAGTAAAATTTTAATCTTGAGTTTCATACAGATTATCTCTTCTCAACCTCAAATTCCACCTCCATATGGAAATTTTATTCACTTGCACTTACTTAATATTTAGAAAATCAAAGCTAGGCAAAGTGCCCTGGCTGGTGTGGCTCAGCGAGTTGAGTGATGGCCTGTGAACCAGAGTCGCAGGTTCTTACCAGTGGTTCGATTTCCTATCAGGACACATGCCTGAGTTGCGGGCCAGGTCCCCAGTGCAGGGGCACACAAGAGGCAACCACACATTGATGTTTCTCTCCTTCCCTTCTCCTCTCTCTAAAAACAAATAAAATCTTAAAAAAAAAAAAGCTAGGCATAGTATATTAAGTGACTTAAATATTTGAAGCATATTCAAAAGTTTATAAACCTTAAAATAAAAGGTCTAATTTTTCATTTACATAAGACATGGAAATAAATTTGAATACATACTCTAATTTGTTACCTGATACATTTCTTTTCCAAAAAGGTAATCCCAAACTTGTCTTTGAACATCCCAATTCACCAAGTAACCCTAAAAAATTTTTTAAATAAATTTAATAATCAAAAATATTTTAACAGCTGTTAAAAACAGATTAATATATTTTAAATCATTGATTTCTATTTCTTTATGGCTACCTTCATCAGTCTAATGCTGTTTTCTCCTTCTACAAGTTCAAAAAATTGCATATTAACATAATCAAAATGTCAAGTTCAAAAGACATACCAATGTGTAGAGATGATTCTCTACACTTATCTTCTTTAATGTGTTCATCTCATTTAACTTTAACATAAACTAGTAAAATTCAGTACCCACACTCATAGCCAGTAACTCAATCATGATCATTTATTTTTAACAAGACAAAACCAATTTTGGTTTTACTAAGCTCTCATTTAAAATTTAAATGACTTTTTTCAGAGATCTAAAAATATTTCCATGCATACAAAATCTTATACATAATTTTAAAGATTATCTTTAAGTTTAGGTCTGTAATGGTAGAAGTGACATAATTGAATTACCTTCTGAAAGGGAAGAATGTAAAAGAGTCCAGAAGGGTCTTTTATTTCATCTATCTGGTTAGCAGTGAACGTTTTAAGACGTGCTGTTTTTGACCTGAACTGGCAGTTAGGAACAACCCTATAAACAAAGAATTAAATAATATAATTATTTCCTAAACTTACTCTTTTGCTATAAATGCATTTACTTAACCACCACCTTGGATGCCAAATAATATCCAAAACCCGAGTTTTTCATTGTTCTTCAAATAACAATAATAAAAAAGTCTTTTTAGGATTCTAGTGTATACCAGGTTCTATACCCGGCTCCTTTTCTTTCTCAAATAATCCTCAAAAAATCCTTGCAGGTGGGAATTGGTTCTGCCACCACAGAAATGAATAGGGAAACTACAGTAAAGTCCGGGGGTTTTCTGGCTTTAATTCGTTAATTCTCAATAACACTCTGGTAAAAAGTTTACAAGTTCAATATTCTGGCCATAAAATTAAGTTTCCATGAAGTCAAAGATTTTCAATCAGCAAGACCGTATAGGATAAAGAAGTAGGAAGTAGTTTTAAGTGTGATTGGGGTCCACCTTGAGCTTACAATCTATTTAGGAAGACAAAATAGAGCCATTATCAATCATACGCACGTGTACATTTCTGTGTTTAAACACATGACTTTTAAAAGCTGCATTGTAGTCAATCTTATGGTTGTATTACAATTTTAATCAATTTGGTATTCTTGATTATTTAGCATGCTTTCTTTTCTTTCTTTTTTTGCTATCGTATACAATGTTTATAAATACTTCATAGCATCCTGTTTACTTTTAGCAAGCACCTCTAATTTATTCCTTGGATAACTGATAACTGAATTGCTGTGTCAAAGGATAAAAGCAATGATACATATTGCTAAAGGTATTTCACAAGGTTGTAACAATTTCCATCCCTAAGCAGTTCGACTGTTCTCTTTTAAAAGAAAACGTAAAGGAGGAAGAGAAAAAAAAAAAACCCTCTGTGAATATGATAGAAGAAAAGCGTGTCTTTAAATTTACTTATACTTCATGCAAAAATACATGAATGCCACGGTAGTATTTGTTTAATTGACTTTATATTCAACCTAGTTACCAAACAGCACTTCGAAGGGCTTAGACACAAGCTTTCGAATTAGGGGGGTCGTGGAGCCCTCTGAGGATTTTAATAAATCTATAATCGCGTTTCCAAGAAAATGCATATACAGACAAATGTTGCCAACGACTTCTCTAAGATTCACGAACTTTGGGTACAGAACCGCCCCTCCATCCCCCAACTAGGAGGCGCTTCTCCAGCAGCCTATTTTACTGATCAATTTCCGGTTACAAAATGAAACAGACGTCCCACTTCTCGGGCCACACAGCCCAAAATTAACATCTAAATCCCAGTTCAAAGCTTCCCAACCACCTAACTCCAACCAGAGCATCTCTTGGGCTCAAGTCGGGCCCCCGCGGGGACATCAGTCTTTTACTGACGTCTCAAAGATGAAGCGTAGTATGAGAAACGACTGGGCGTGTGTGTCTTGTGCCTCGGAGAAAACGAACACTTACGAGACATTTTCATGGCTGTAACCGATTTTGGCATTGTAGGCTCCGTTATCCAACACTAACGTCGTCATTTTAGCAAAAAAAAAAAAATCCAAAAACAAAAACAACCAAAAAAAAAAAAGGCGCCGTTTCTTTCTCTTGCCGGCCCTTCTTCTCACGTTGATTTTTTTTTTTTTCTTTTCCGGGCAGTTTCTGGTTTGCGTGGGTGGAGCTTAAAGGCGCGCTTCCGGTTTCCCTTAGCAACGGCGGACGCCGGAACCCAGAGACCGACCCGCTGCCCTGCTCATCCGCGAGAGTCAGTACTAGCGTGCTCCAGCCTAACCCCTTGACGTCGTGGCGAGATCCATGAGTGAAAGTGGCTAAACGCTTTTTCGCCCATTGCGAATTTGTCCTTTACTTCGCAGTTTGACTCGCTACTGCAATTTTCTTCTAACTTCTGTAGCGAACCCGGTGTGTATTGTTCAAACAGTGACAATTATGTATAATAAAGTGCAAAACATACTCAGAATGGTATTGGATATGAGGTCTTTTCAGCCTCATTCCCCACCATTGCCCATCCTACTGCAGGATCCAACTATCCTGAATTACAAATATCCTGTTCCGTCAATCGCCTTGCGTTTTTACTCACAGTCACACACTTCCCCCGTCTACTTGTTCATAAGGACAGAGCTCTGCATCTTTCTTATCAAATAAGTATTCCCGACATTGGACATGCACGAGTACTTCTCCATTACTCTTCCTAAAATTAGGTGTTCCTCCTATGTATTCTTGTAATGCTCTCGGCTAACTCCTCTATATCATAATGGATAAGAAAATGAATTTTGGACTGGATCTGGACTCTGCCACAAAATGGCTGTGTAACCTTGGACAATGAAGATGATAATGAATAATACATGACACTTAATGCACGTAGGTAAACTACTCTAAGAGCTTTATATATTAATCTTCACAATTTCTGAATGAGGTACTATTACTGAAATCAAAGAAGTGATTAAGAGTGCAGTCTCTGAATTCAAACACCTGGCTCAAATCGGGGCTTTGCCACTACATGGCCAGATAGATTATTGAACCTCCCTATGCCTTAGTTTTTTCATCTGTATAATGGAATAATATTAACAGCACCCCCTTGCAGAATTGTTTATGAAGAGTAAATGATAAAAGTCAAGTACCTGGTAGTGGTTATAACCACCACCACCATCATCATCCTTTTAACATATGATCATTCTCTGTTAACTTGTATACCTTGCAAACGCCTTGAAGTCAGGCACTCTATTCCATTGGTGTCGACATCCGTTTGTATCAAAAAAGTCACTGAATGTCCAAAATTATGTCAAATTTTAGTGACTTTATTTTCCCTAATATTCAATTGATAAGATCCTTTCCTACAAACATGTACGGAATATTTTATAAATTTTATATCATAGAGCAGCCACCACCAATATCAGTTTCTTATCTTTTAAAATACACTCTTTCAGCCCTGGCTGGTGTAGCTCAGTGGATGAGTGCTGGCCTGCAAACCGAAATGTCACTGGTCGGATTCCCAGTCAGGGCACAGGCCTGATTGCAGGCCAGGTCCACAGCTGGGGGCATGTGAGAGGCAACCCATCAATATATTTCTAACACATTGATGTTTTTCTCCCTCTCTTTCTCCCTCCCTGCCGGGGTCCAGCCTCGGCGGGGTCTCAGAGTCCCCAAAGGATGCACTGCTAAGGCAAAACAAATGAAGCAAGACACCCGGTGGGGTGCTGGAGGACAGCCAGGCTTTTGGGGCCCAACTGACTCACCGAGAAAAATCAATCTTTATTTTTATAGGGAACGTTATACAACATTCACTGCATAGTGTGATTATTAAAACAGAAATGGTTACCACAGAAATAATTTCTGAAAACACAGAAGGTTTTACAGATCAATCATGTTAAACCAAGAAATAACCAAAAAGTACAGGAGGTCCCACAGATCAACCATATTAAACAAAGGTTATTTTGACCAAGAGGGTCATTAATCAGAGAGCCAATGAAGCTATACGGGCACAAACTTTCAGGTGCCAATTAGTAACTAGGTGTCTATTAAGATTCTAGGGATTGGTCTAAATTAAAAGAGTACAAGGTCTGATTTGTAGGTATATAGAAATCAACTATTATCCATTGAGGTTAAATTTGTCTCAGTTAGGTAACTGGGTTTTTGCCTAGGTTTTTTGATTTATAGACATCTTGGGGGGGCCGTGTTTTGTATTCATTTCCATGTATTGAGATTTTTATTTCCAACTAGAACTCCTTGCTTCTTTACACTCCTGTGCAGGGTATGGGAGGGGTAGTGGCTCTAATAAATCTTAAGCTTTTGAGTGGTGACTCCTTAAGAAATGTTCCTAGCAACAGTTTCCTTCAGTGTTCTGGCAGTTGGTCTGCCCATAGTTTAATTTTGTCCTTAACTTCCCAGGTGGGGGAAGCAGGCAACATTAGGGTTGCTAGGGGTCTCTATTCTGTGGTCAGCAGGTCATTTTGCACAGAATCAGAGGCATGGTGCAGATTTTTTGTTATAACACACAGGAATCTAAAAATCCCACCACCTATTGGTAGCAGGGACAGGCATACAGGAGGAGATAGGCAGGAGATCCGGCCACAGTCGCCTCTGCTGTGCGAATGTGCCTCGTCTGACCTGACTGTGTCAAAAACAAAGGTCAGCTATAGGTCGGCTCCTGACACCTCCCTTCCGCTCTCTCTAAAAGTAAATAAGTAAAATCTTTAAAAAAAAATACATTTTTTCAACCTTGTCTCTCCCGGTTATCAGCCCTTTCACATTTAAGCTTTTCTTTTTGTTTTACTTTACATGTTCCTTGATCACAATTATTTTTGTTCTTGGCTTCAGCTATCATTAAATGCTGATAAATCCAGAATTGTGCCCCCACCTATAACCTGAATGTTTCTACACAGATACTCTGAGATAATCTCAAAGGCAGCAAAACCAAAACTGAATCTTATCTCCAAAACTGCTTATTACATCCACATTACTTATCTCAATTAGTGGTGTGCCCCAAAAGCCACATGATGACCCAAGTCAGAAATCTCAACTACCTTCAACTACAATCCTTGACTTAATCTCTGGAATGAAAGATTAAGGTTCTGGAATGCAACTTCTTTCCTCTCTACTGATACTGTCTTATCTCTCACCTGAAATAATGCCATTGTATCTTCAATGTCCATCCTGCCTCCATTCTCCTCTCATCATGATCTATGCTCTGTACTGCCAGCATAATTATCAGCAAGTATTTTCTAAAGCAGAAATCCAGTCATCCTCCCCAAACCCACCCTCCCAAGAAGCCTTCCATGGCCTTGACATTGCCTATGAAATAATGTGCATGCATTTGCAATCACACCCCCCTTCAATTCATCTCATGCTGGTAAATGTTTAACCACCAGGTCTCCAGGAAATAAAGCCCTGATTTATAAGGCTTGGCCACTGTCTGTGGAACAAATACAGTCACAACAGATAATGTCAAGCTATCTTGAAGTCACCAAACACTGAACACAGAATCAGGAAGAGAGGCACACAGTAGGTCTCACAAACCAGTATAAACCAGCTTCAGCACAGACTCTTCAGTAAAAGCTCTGACACTATTTACCTTCACACTACACACTCTTTCCCCAGGTTTTACACTTGATCTTGGCCTAAGGGCCAAAAAGCTATCTCTCCTCCCAGGTTTCAGCACAAATAATCTCAAGTATGTAAGTTCTACTTTTCAGATATATACTTAAGCAATGTATAATTTTAAAAGTTAAAAACATGATTCTTAAGCCCTGGCTGGTGTAGCTCAGTGGACTGAGTGCGGGCTGCGAACCAAAGTGTCGCAGGTTCAATTCCCAGTTAGGGTACATGCATGGGTTGCAGGCTATGACCCCCAGCAACCGCACATTGATGTTTCTCTCTCTCTCTCTATCTCCCTCCCAATAAATAAATAAATAAATAAATAAATAAATAAAATCTTTAAAAAAAGATTGGCTTTAATTTGCATTAAAATAACATGATTCTTCTATAAATATGTAATAAACATGTGCAACATATTTAAGCCATATTAATAAGTGAATAGGTTTATACCCTATCTTATTGGTTCTTACATTAATGATTTAATAAATCTCTGATACATGTTCCTTATATAGTTGTATGACAGTCATTTTTTTAACTTTTTGAAAATTTGATCATTAAATAGCAATTAACAAAAATACAAATTAATTTAAACTGCTAAATCTATGGTGGTTTTGTGACATTGTATATTCTTTCAATCCAGGGAGAGTAAAATTAAAATTATTACCCTACATTTTCTCAATAAAAGGTACCATAACTACAATTATTAACCTTTCTGGTTCACTAAAACTTATTACTTTGAAAAAGGAATCTACATTTTGTTATAGTCAAAACATTAGGCCATTTTGCCATTTAGAAGCCATGAACTTTGATGCTTTTGTGTTTTTTATCATTGTGTTTCACCTGTCTGAAACATCTTGCCTAGTGAATTAATACCATTCTATTGCATCTTGGATTCTCTAAAGTACTTTAAAACTTATGACAACTTCATAAAGGTAAATAGCACCACGAGGCTCAGAGATTCTTTTCTTATGTGATCATAGGGAAAAAATCACATTCTTTCCTATGAGCACATACTTTTTCTGTGATCACATACCTAAAAATCTACAGGGTTAGGTTTCAAATGCAAGTCTTTGACATCAGAGACAGTTCTTTCTAACATACTAAGCTGACATTCTCATCTTTGAAATAATATTTCCACTGTAAATCTGTCTGCTTTACCAAATAGAAATGAATCATTCCCTTCTGTGTTCTCATTGTACCTTGTTTCTGTTTGTTATTATACTCATTATAATAGCATATTAAGAGCTTGACATATACTAGGCACTCACTTGATATACATAATCTCATTTAATCCCCACAAAACTCTGAGTTAGATACCATTATTCCAGTAGTCCTAAATGGTAACTGAGGGTGAGAGATATAAATAACTTGTCCAAGTTTACACAGCTACAAAGTAGCCAAGCCAGCATTTGAACCAGTATAATGACAGAGGTCAAGGTCTTAGCATTAGCAATTTACCTTCCACACTGGGCTCTTAACTCTTTGATGGCAGGAACACTTGTTTGTTTTTTTATCGAGGCATCCCTAGTTATTTAAATAATGCCTGGTTCATGATAAGTTTTAAGTGAGTAAATAGTCAACCCATATATATCTGCTTTCCTTTTTTGGGAAAGGGACAGGTGTTGGACTATGTGTAAACTACCCACTCTCCCTGACACATACCCACACATCTTCCTGATACATCCCTCAGAGATATGGCAATTTCTTTTCCTCTTCTAGAGATCACTGGGTGGTCATTTTTACCCCTGAATAATGTTGGTTTAGGTTTGGGTGTGGTGGAGGTTCAGGGCTGTAACAGTTCTCCCTGCTATTTCAACATTTTCCTTCCGTTTTACAAAAATATTCAAGTAAAAGTTTACATTTTTATTTCTTTATATACAACAACCTAGTGAGGTAGGTAAGGCTGATATTATTAGCTCGTTTTATAAATGGTTAAACTGAGGCTAAAAACAAGGAAATTATTTTCTCCAGGTTAACACAGCTAGAAAGTACTAGAGCCAGGACTTGGTTAGTCCTTTTAATTCGCAAGTCCTGGGCTCTATTAGGGCACGTTGTCAACTTTTACTTCCCTTAAGATTGGAATCACCAGATGAAATATTACAGGATTTAGCCAGGAAAGTGGGATATCTTAGCAAAGGACAAGAAAATGAGGCAAGAATATGGAGACAACTGAGTAAGAAAACAGAGCAAAGCAAGCCGAAAAGTTTGTGGAGCAAATTCTGAGGAAATGAAAAAAGAGAAGTAGGATGTGGCAGGAAACTCAGTGATGGCGACAGAAAGAATAGAGGTGGAGAGATTGGATTACAGCCCAAGAAGGTTTTGGGATCGCGAGTCAAAGCACCCTACAGCCTCAGGGCGGCTGAGGACACCGCCCCAGTCCTACACAAGCGTGGCACCGCCACACACTTTCCGCGCCTGCCTGGAACGTGCGTTGCCCCGCCCCTCCCCGCGCTCGCCCCGCCCCTCCCCGCGCTCGCTCCGCCCCGAGCCTGTATCGCTCCCGCCCTCCCCCAGGTCTCTTAGGTGATGCTGCAGCCAAGATGGCGTCGGCGGCGGCTGCGGTGGCTTGAGGGAGATGCTCCCGGTCCTCCGCGGTAGAGGCGGCGGCTGTGGCCTCGGCCGGGGCCTCGGGTCTTTCCCGGGCGTGAGCGCTCAGGCGCCTCTCCTTCGGCCGGGTTAACCCGGACAAAGAGGAGACGGCCGCGAAAAGAGGAGGCAGTGAGGAACCTAGAGAGAGCGCGGCACCTCCCGTCCCGGCACCATGGCTGGGCTCATCAAAAAACAGATCCTGAAGCACCTCTCCAGGTCAGTGAGAGTCTCTGACGTGGGGGCCAGTCCGCCTCCGCCCTGGCTGGCACCGGAGGCAGCCTGAAGCCTCGGGGATGGCGGGGACCGGCAGCCGTGCGGGAGGCGACCCTGGGACTCCCCGCTCCGGTCGGAGCCCCGGCTCTCCTGCCGTGCCCGGGGTTGGCCTCACGAGTGAGCCCCTGGACGGGTTCTTCCCCGGCCGGCGGGCTAGGATCGCCCCCGCCACAGCATCTGGGGGCGACCCGGGGACACCTTTGGGGCGGTCCCGGCGGATGGTGGGGCTGGCCCGGCGTCACCGAGGTGCCTGGGGGATGTGGTAGAATGAACGCGAGCTCGGCACTCGTCTGGACTCGGAGCAGAACCGTTCCGTTAACCGAGGGCGTCTGGCGCTGCGTGACCCGTCAGGCAGAGAGGCTTGTCTTCTCGGTGAAAAGTGAACCTTGTTGTCGTTCTGAATGCACCCCGCCTCGCCGTTCCCGCCCCGGGGCATCAGAGGGTGTGCTCGTTTGCACAGTTAAGATTTGTTTTAGGTAAATAAACACAGTTCCTAGCTCTGACAAGTTCTTTCTGGAGTCATTTTAGCCCCACGTCATTCTTGCAAAACAGTTGTGTTTTTTTTGCTTTTTTTTTTTTTTTTTTGGTCTTAACCCGAGACCCATAAATTCAGAGTCAGCATCTGTGGTGATAAACCCAAGACTTGTCGTTCTTTCCATTTCCTAACGCGGTTTTATTCAGAAACATGACTCAGTAAAGCTGGCAGTTTGTTGCTCCTGGCTTCCCCATATTTGTCTCTAGACACAGGCTAAATGTAGGATCTTGTTTCCAAGTTGTTCACAGCGAATCCAGAGCTCTTGGTTATGACCCTTTACTCTGTTGTTTGTAAGTTAATGATTACTTTTAACTCGTTGTAGGAAAAGACTCGGGTGTAATGATATACTTGTACAGCAATGACAATTCTTGATTTTACAGATGGCTGTATACCACAGGTTATCTATTGGGGAACAAAATCAATATTTCTGTGGTTCGGCACATATTTTCCTTATAATTTTGAATAAAACAGTTTTTAAAAGTAAAAAGGTTATAGCAGCATTTATGAATATGCATTTCTTAATATTACCACTAATTAAAAAGTTTCTTTTAAGAGTGTACATATGATCCATGTGAGTAACTTATTTTGGAAGAAGTTTTTATCTTTACTTTTAACTTATTATTTAGGTAAGGTCCTACCTATCAGATGTCCTTCAGTCTCTCTCATACTTATGTCTACAAGAATGTTCCTACCTACAGAAAATGATTTGAGTGTCTATTTTCTCACTCTCCCAAGGATGGTAGCACATGGTTCCTTTCTAGATGAAAGGGAGGAAAGTTAATTCAATCAGTGAGTGCCTTAAAGCATTAGAGTTTAATTCTCCTGTAGAACAGTTGAGGACTCTTACAAATAGCCAAGGTAATGGTTTACTTCACAATATACACAATACCCACATATTCGGAATTTGTATGATTTCTAATATCTGTGTTGTAAATAGTAATGAGTTTTTTCAGGGATGAGTTTTTGAAACACTTGAGTTTTTATTTCATATTTCAAAACAACTTAGGTGACTGGGAGTATCACATTTATATTCTTGGTTAACTTACTGTTATTGCTGTCATCTTTATGATGGTATTTATAAATCTAAAGGATGGCAATAGATGAAACAAGGTGGTAAATAATAGTTATTCAAGTAGGGATGAACTTTTGAGATTACCTGGGTCAAGCTTAATTTTACAAATTAGTAATGAAGATTGATGCGATCACTGACCGGCAGTGACCTAGGAACTCCGTGGATGGCTTGTCGACACAGGAGAAAAACATACACAGAGACAACCAGGTCCTGTGGGGAAGTAGGAACGGAATGGCCACTCTCTCTAGTGGGGAGCGCCCCCTTCCCCGCCGGAGAGGCTTTTTATTGGTTTCGTTTGCATAAGAATTCAGGTAAAGCTTATTACTCATTGCTAGGAAGTAAGGATCAAACAATAGATAACAAGGAAGTCTGAGGGCCTATTTTGAGTCAGGGCCAAAGAGCTGTAAAACTTTGAGGAACAAACTTACTTCTTCCTTGGACCCTTATCATTCAACTGAGTATTCTAATCAAAGAAGGTTTCACAGGATTTTACTTGTTCTTTCTTAGGCCTCATCACCCGGGGAACCCGCCTTTTCCAGCACAGGGCTGCACCACCCTCCGTCATTGTTTCAGGCTTACGTGGAGCAAGGGAAGTAAGGCAGCCAAGAGATTAGGAGATTTTCTCACAGAAAGTGAGGACTCAGGCTATGTCAAAGCCTGGACCCTCAGGTGAGGGTCCATCACCCCTTTTTGCTGCAGCCCCCAAAGTCCTTTCTGGGGGCCTCCCACGTGATCATGCCTGTCTTAGATCGTTCCCCACTTGCGGAATCTTACCTGTCATTGGCTAACTGACCAAGCATTGGGGGCCAGGCAGGGTGAAGTAAAGGAGCAGAAGCAGCATTCCTGCCAGGGAGATGAGCTTTTGTCTCCTTGCTGGCTTACGGTCCAAGGTCATTCCCTCAGCCTTAGTGGGGGTTACAGCTTCTGATACCAGGCAGGGCGGTTTCCAACAGAAGATGTCACTATATTGATGTGATCATCTGGAATACAGTTTAATAAAGTTTAGCAGGAACTACTTAAAACACATTACTTCCAATAGTAGACATTTCATATGGCCAGTGGGTACAACCCTGGCACTGTCTCCAAGAAGGTCTTCCTTACTTGACTGATCACGCTTTTCTATATAGCATTCATCCTCGTCTGTCATGTATTTGGTGTCTGTCTGTCTTGCCTAGATTGTGGCTTCCTGGTCAAGAGCACATACAAGAGACCACCAATGAATGCAGAAATAAGTGGAACAACAAGATCAATGTTTCTCTCCCTTCCTCTTGTCTTTTTCTTTCTTCCCTCACCTCCCCCTCTTCATCTTCCTTTCCTTCCTCCCTCACTCCCTCCTCTCTTTTCCCCTCTTTTTTTCTGCCTCCCTTTCCCTCGCTTCCCCTCTCCCTCCTTCTCTCTCTCTAAAATCATTTTTAAAAAACTTTTATTAATCCTTACCCAAGGATATGTTTATTGATTTTGGGAGGAGAGAGAGACAGACAGGCAGGCAGGGACATAGATGTGAGAGAGAAGTATTGATCAGTTGCCTCCCTTACGTGCCCCACTGTGCCCCCCACCAGAGATCAAACCCGCAACCTTTTGCTGTACCAGGACAATGCTTCTACCAACTGGGCCACCTGGCCAGGACAGAAGAAAAATGTATTTTTTTATATTCTCACCTGAGAGAGAGAGAAACATTGATTTTGTTGTTTCACATATGCATTCATTTGTTGTCTCTTTATGTGCCCCTGACTGGAAATCCACAACCTTGGCATATCAGGATGACACTCTGATCGACTTAGCACCCGGCCAAGGGCAGAAAAACAACAAAACAAAACAAAACACAAATTTAGTTTTTGAATAAATGGAAGAGTGGCACTGATCACCTGACTCTCATATTGCCTTTTTCTTATCTTACGCAAGCCTTTAGGTCACCAATATTATTGAAGTTTACATGTGGTTTTGAGGAAGCAGTGGGTAATTGAATCGCTGAATAAATGTGGTGTTTATGGTGTTCTGGCAAAAAGGACTAGGAAAAGGAACCAACAGGAGAAAGAGAATGCTCACTCTGAGCCTTGAGATTTAAGATTATAACCAAAACTAGTGTTATCTGGATGTAGGTGTGTGAAAAGCCAACTTTGAGTAAATGCTGAACTATTTGAGTCTTTTAAATCGATATACTCGTTCCTTGCTTAATTGTTTAGTTTCTAGCCCAAGCATGTCTTGTATTGTTAATAAAATAAGTTAGTATACCTGGAGCTGATCTGAAACTTAACAGGCATGGGGTGAGTGGAGGAAGGGAGAGATAGAGGAGACCATTTGTGTATATGGTGGGGTGGGGGTTGGAGTTGTTACATTTTAGAGAAGTGAAACAGGATATCTTTGAAGGAGAAATTACCTTCATGTTTCGTACTGTAATTGGCACAAAGTATGGTTTGGAATATTTCCTGGGAGTGTCTTTTTTCACAAGGGAATGGAAAGTTCTAAAGAAAAGTTGTAATAAGCATCAGGAAGGAAATAAGAGCAGGGGCTACCTTTCAGCCCAAGGTCTCATTATCTTTTACTGTGTGTGTACATGGGAGTGGGGAGTGCTTGAGCAAAGATGAAGAGGGGGAAAATAGAAGCTGCAAGATGGGGTATATTTAAGCCAGGGCCTGCAAAAGGGCAGGGAAAGTTCAGATACAAGTGCTTCCCTTTTCCCTCTGACACAAGGCATACTGTAATGGGCACAAGGTTTATGGGGGGGGGGGGCGGGGAGTTGGCAGTAGAGACATACACCACACGTGAGAGGAATCTTTGTTTTGTTTAAAGCAGAGGTTCTTAGTCAGGGGTGATTTTGCCCCTCTGGGGAAATTGGCAATGTTTAGAGACATTTCTGAATGTCACAACAGGGGGGTGGTTAAGGGTACTGACATCTAGTGGTTAGAGGCCAGGGATGCTGTTAAATATCCTCCAATGCACAGCACATTCCCCCACAGTAAAGAAGTACTTTGTCCAAATGTCAACAGTTATGAGGTTGAAAAACTGGTTTAAAGTGTTCATGTGTGTGTCAGGTGATTGAACTAGGGCTACTGTGCTAGTCAAGTTTATTTTGTCTATAAACAACAACACCCTGCTGTGTTTAACTCAGGTAAAAAGGTAAATAAGGGGAAGGGCAGGAACTAGCCGGCTCCGGGAACCTGTTTGGAAGTGTTCTTGGATCCCAGCACTATTGACCTTTCAACAAGATAATTCTTTGTTGTGAAAGGATGTTCTGTACATTGCAGAATGTTTAGCAGCATCTCTGATCTCCACCCGCTAGATGCCAGGAGCACTCCTACAACCTTGACAGTGAAGAATGTCCCCACACGTTACTAA